ACCGTCAGGAACATTGCTGTGCAGGTACGTCCCTTTTATGGTGATGATGTTGTCCGGCTACATGTAATTGGGTGCCCCTTTGTCCTCGAGGATGCCACTTTGGTCACCATGCTAGAGCCATTTATGAAAATTGTCCACGGACCATCACGGCAGAAAGTCCGCCTTGCAGAGGGGGTGGATGTGATGGTTGAGAGCGGGAGACGGTTCATACTCGGTACGCCCCTGAGGTCAATCCCCAGTATGCTAGTTGTACCAGAAATGAAAACAAGGTTGCACCTTTGGCACGAGGCACAAGAATCGACATGCTGGGAATGTCACCAGCCGGGTCACAAATCCCTTAGCTGCCCACGCCGCCAGACATCCCGTGAGACCTCTGTGATACAAAAAGAACTGACCAAAACATCAACAGTTGTACCTGTTGAGGATAACAACCCTACGGTAGACTTGACCGCCAGTGAGCTCAAGCCCAGGGCAGCTCAGACAAACCCCGCCGTGCGTGGCAAGTCCAGGGCTGAGCACACGCCTACATCTGATACGGCACAAGAAGGTGACGACAGTGATGGCTTCACACCAGCCCGTAGGCCGAAAAAGAAGAGTCAACAAACGGCCGACCAGAGACCAGCTAACCAAGCTGCAAATTGTGAGCTCCTGGATGATGCCTTGAGTAGTGTTCTGCACCGGACAGGATCACATTACGAGGTTTTAGCCGACAACATTATTAAGGAGCCAGGCAGGGAGCCGCTAAAGCCCGCAGGCCCAGCCAGGCGGCTAGCGACACCTGCAGTCGCTAACAAGCCCCAACATCGGACGTACGTACACCATTGCTACATAATGTATCCTCGTTCAACAAAATAGTCATGTATATTACATTGCAAACGATAGGAAATTTCACACACATTAGTTCTTCCTTTTCTTTGCATCACTAAATCCCCTAGCACCATCTTTCATACCAATGAGCAACCGAAATCTGCGATCATGTACCAACCACGACACATCCCACTTGTCCGTAGGGTTCATGAATGTATGCAGTATCCGCTTCAAGGTCCATGCTCTAACCGCACTGATCCCCAAGTACGACATCCTGTGTGTCGATCTCTGACGGAGAAGTACAAATCCCAGGTTATAACCTTACCTGATGTGACCGCGAAAACAGGACTGGAGGCGGTGTATGTGCCTACTACAAATCATCACTTCCCATCACGCCACAGCCAAATCTCCGCCTAGACGGTGTGGAAGCCGTCTGGATACTGCTGAGATCGAAGTCCCAGAAGCACCTGTTCGGATGTGTATATCGCCCCCTCAGGAGCCGGTCGCGTACTGGACTCTCCTGGACTCTGCCTTCCATAGAGTGTCTCTGGTGACAACATCAATGACCGTTGTAGGAGACTTCAATGTGGGCATGTTCCGAGCCCAGAGAATGGCGCAACGTCAGCACCTTGAAGATGTCGCATCTGCTTACAGCCTCACAAACCACGTGCTGTCCCCGACAAGGATTACACCTCTCTGCCCCCAAGGTAGCACCATAGATTTAGCCCTTTCTACAGAGAACTCAGTGTCAACGTGCACAGTTGTTCCGTCCACCATACGTGACCACTTTACCGTCTGTGCTACTATGACCTTTGCTGTACAGACGAAGAAGTGCGTGCATGCTCCACAAACACGTAAGTTGCACAAAATCGATAATCCGCTATTTCGCGAGGACCTTAATTAAATATTGCTTTGCGCAAGACTTCCCCTCTGATGCCGATGTCGACACTTACTGGGAACTCTGGCACGATCGATTTATGACTGTGTTGGACACACATGCCCCGCTTGTACAAGGTGCAAAAAAATCTGCAGAACCTATGCCTTGGTCAAACCGCGACATTTATCAGTTGGACAAGAAGAAGAGAAGGTATCATCGCCTTTGGCTGGCTGACAAAGGAAATGTTCAACTCCACCAGCAGTACCGGAAGGTTCGAACTCAGGCAACGAACATGCATCGCCGTTGTAGGAATGAGTACTTCGCACGTCAATGCCAAGAACATTCCAGAAACCCACGCCAGATTTGGAAAGTCATCAATACCGTCACCGGACGCGGGAAGCAGAAAACCGAACCAACCTGCAACATCGAAGAGGTCGCCAACGTGTTTCATGACATTGTGACCGACCCAAAGCGCCCATCATGCCTAGCCTCTCCCGTCGGCCCACTTCCATCGGATAGCCTGCACACGTTCCAGCCAGCCTCGTGTTCCGTAATCTACCGTCTACTAAGTCAAGTCAACCCTGCGAAAGCAACGGGCAGCGACGGTGTCCCAGGATTTCTCCTGAAGTCCTGTGCTGAGGTCCTCACGCCATCTGTCACCACACTCTTCAACCTGTCACTGAAATCTGGTGCAGTGCCTGCCGGTTTCAAGTTGGCGGCTGTAAGCCCGCTGTTTAAGTCTGGGGATCCGTCTCAGCCGACAAACTATAGACCAGTATCGCTACTTCTGATTTTGTCAAAGTTGCTGGAAAAGCTGGTCCAGCAGCAGCAGCTAGTAGAGCACCTCGACCACACCGACGACGCTATCCCAGAAACTCAGTTTGCATTTCGCCGGCAGCACTCGACGGGTGATGCACTAGCCTTACTGGTTGATCAGTTGCAAATGGCTCGAGACAAGAAGGACTCCTCTGGAGTGTGCTTCCTCGACACGTCGAAGGCCTTCGATAAAGTGCGGCATGAAATTATGATCCAGAACTGTTTTGAAATTGCAGTTGGCGGTACGGTGATGAAATGGCTCGTTAGCTACCTTACAAACCGGACACAACAAGTCCGCATCGGTAGCGAACTGAGCAACATCACAGTATGCACAAGTGGAGTACCCCAACGACCTGTATTGGGGCCCATCTTGTTCAATATCTACACCCGAGCGGTAGCTGCAGCAGCTCACCCGACCCCTAGTATACAATTTGCTGACGATATTGCACTATACCAAAGTGGTCCCAACACGGCAACTATTTCACTGGGACTCTCGTCATCCGTCACTGCGCTGGCCGACTGGCTCGAAAAACGCGGCCTGATATTGAATGAACGCAAAGGTCAAGTTCTGTGCATCTGTGGGAGGGATGTGCCAACCAACATCGCTGTAAATTGCCATCAGACCCGCTTACCTGCTTGTACTGTGGCCAAGTACTTGGGTTTAACCATCACCGAGCAACTGACCTGGGACCACCATATCCACGATGTTACAGCGAAGGCGAACAGGAAAGTCGGAGCATTGTGGCGAGCCCAGCGATCCCTTTCCCAGAAGGCCAGGGCCCAATACCTAAAATCCGTTGTGATGCCCGACCCATTATATGGAAGTGTGGCCTATAGCACGTCCCTCTCAGCTTTTGCTCTAGAGAAACTCCAACGTCTTCAGAACCCTGCCATCCGCGCTGTGTTCAGCCTACCACCCACATCTTCGGTAAGCCGCCAAAGGGAGAGCATATCCCTCCGCAAAATCGAGGAGACACAACACCACCGACTCCTCGATCTCATCTGGCGCGGCCTGAACGGCCAATGTAGTACAGCGCTTTCAAAGCAGCTGACGCCCGCAACCACGGCCACAACTCGATATCAAGCCAACGCCGGGCTCATTTTGCCGCTGGCGCCGACCGTTCTTCCGTGGACCTGCGCTGTGGAACACTCTGCCAGCCAGTGTACGTTCCTGCAAAGCCGTGGCCGATTTCGCAGCAGCCGTGTACCCGTACACTCTCAGGCCATAAACGTTTTTAAAGAAGAGAAACAGTGCTATGCACACACGCACGCACGCGCGCACACACACACACACACACACACACACACACACACACACACACACACACACACACACACACAAGGACAATATGTAGGCATTTTAACGAACGGTCTTTTCCTGTTAGCTCTGTTTGTCCAGTACATGAGATACAACGTCTTTCTTGTTGTTTTTCCCTCTACATGTAGCTGCTTGCAGCAAGGTAAACGACAGTATCATGGCCTTTTCAGATTTTCATTGTACCTATTAATTTTGTAGTACCCCCCGGGATCAGTATTTCCACTTGAAATAATATTCACCAAAATGCCTCATTCTTAGCATTCTTTTTATTTGCTTCCATGCAATTGGGCTTATTGCCCGTTTGGTATTGCAAATTCAAATAAAAAGAAGAAGAACAACAACAACGTGCTGCTCCTACCCGAAAAAAGTGGTATGTCGAGCGTGACCGTAAACTGCTTCGCCTGGTCCAAAGATATGATAACGAGGAACCACTCGTCTTCCTCAGAGGCATCACCCATAATCTAGCTTTCAACGTAGCGGAGTAAATTCTGATGAAGGACTGACCCCACATGTAAATTTGAAACACTTTGAGTCAATACCGGAATATCAGAACGAACACACTCTATTGACTTTTCAACTAACAAGATGATTTCTCTTGGTTGATTGGTACTCGTGATTACTGCACATGTATAACATTTTCACTGTGTATCTTGGCACCAGCTGCGTAAAAGACAAGAATTCAGCGAAATGCTCTGTAGTCGAAAAAAAACCCTCTCCTAATTGGTAGTCACCGAAAAAGCATTTCGGCGAAGTGGGCCGGTCGAGAATTGTCCAACCGTCGACGCGGTTTTCGACCAATCGACGGCAATGAAATGTCACTCGCCGAAATGGTTTTCGGCGTACTGACCTAGAACCGCTGCACAGACTAGACCAGGGAGTCGCAAAATACTGGTATTTTACAACTCGACTGTACATCGCTGTACATAGATTAGCACGAACTCGGGTGCGTAGCCGCTATAACTGCACGAACGCTGGCCTGCGCGGCAATCGCCATTTTTCAAAATGGTGGTCGACGCTTTTTGAATTTTGTATGGTCGTGGTGAGCCCTGACTGTAATTCCCGCCCCCTGCCGAAAAACCAGCTGGGAAGCGACACGGTGTGTGTGTGGGGGGGGGGGGGGGATCAACGGTACTTTACGGTAAACATAGCATCCAAAGCAACACACTGATCATTCCTGCTTACCTGGTACTCAAGGGCATTTCTTAATAGCATGATAGCTGGCTGTGTTATACATGTCTTCATCTGAAAACCATGACACACGCACACGCACACACACACACACACACACGCACACACACACACGCACACACGCACACACACACACACACACACACACACACACACACCTCAGACATGCCCATCGCGGAAGCGATGATAGCGAACAGCTATGTTAGACATAGCAACTTGTGCTGGGATTACACCATTCAACAGCTTGTAAGGCTGATGAATTGACCGCCACCAATTTTTAGCCTGGTATCCACCACACAGCTGATTGAAGTGGCTTTTTTCTGGCCAGTGAATCCCTATTTTTCATTTTTTTTACACACACACGCCACACCACATACTCCTGCATACACTGGCTGTTGGTAACCACCCAGGAGAATGAAAGAAGAGCTAGGAGAATGAGAAAGAGAAGAAAGACGTGTGCGACCATAATAGTCGGGAATTGAACCCGCAAACTCTCGATTGGAAATCGACTGCACATACCACTGCACCATATGGGACACACACACACACACACACACACACACACACACACACACACACACACATACACACACACACACACACACACACACACACACACATGCGGAAATTACGGATACCGAAATGTCGCGTATTAAAGCCGGGCTTAGTCCTGTAGAAGCCGATGTCAGGGCTAGGCTTCTATTCAAAGTTTCAAACCAGGTATTTCTATGTGTGTCAACTGTCAACACTAAAACCAGGCTTATGTGCCGACAGTGTATCTTGAAAATCAGGCTTGTATTCAAAACAGGCTTCTTCATGAGACAGGCTTTAATACAAGACACTGTTGTGTGTAAGAAATCACCAAAACTGAAAAAGTCGCATCCGTGGAATGACAATTTTGCCAGATCTATTTGGCTAAGGTGGGAATACCTTGCACTTTACCAGGATGGCGTGGCTATTATTTTCACTCATACATTAGCAATTTGCTGCCCAACCCTCAGCCAGCTTCTAGATGTTACAGCCTGACCTACTAGTAGTTGAAACTGTGTGATACACCCAAGGCCCACAGCAGCGGTGACTATGCCAACGGGCATTTTCTCATTTAACTTGCCGCTCCTTGGCCCAGTTTCCCAGTGATCACTAGACTGCCACTACAGTACTGCCACCGGGCGCCGAAGAACGGAGCGCCGAAGAACGGAGCGCCGAAGAACGGAGCGCCGAAGAACGGAGCGCCGAAGAACGGAGCGCCGAAGAACGGAGCGCCGAAGAACGGAGCGCCGAAGGACAGTCAGGCTAGAGTTTTACCAATTTTAAGAATGTCTAGGCTGGATTTTTTGCAGATAAGAATGGAAACTGCAATATACACTATAATGTACAGTACTCAGAAGTGTAACTCTGCATAAATACATGTAGCATTGTAGGTTTGGATGATACATTTCTGTCGTTTCATGGTAGGTCAAAATTTATTTATTATTATAAAGTGAACAGGCAGGTGTGCATATGCATCACCATGCAATGACCATGTACTGGTACATGCATAGACGGTTCACAAGTAAACGTTCGTACATACAATCAAGAGTACATACCCCCCCCCCCCCCCCCCCCCCAGAGTGTGCATCGCCTGATCCATCTCTGCATAGGGTCTTGGTCGAGCGGAATCAAATCTTCTGATGTCATGCGTACACTCCACACCAGCGCAAGGCCGGTCTCGAGGCAGGGCACCGTTGTTTTTGATCCGAGAGTACCCACGACTCCCCGGGCTCCCCTCAGATATGTACGGTATTATGACGCAAAGATCCGATTACGCTCGACCAAGACCCTATGCAGAGCTGGATCAGGCGTTGCACACTCTGGGGGGTTATGTACTGTTGATACAATGATATGTACAATCACGTACAGTCAACTTCGCTTATAACGACACTCAGCGGGGCATCAGAAAAGTGTCGTTATTCGCGAAGTGTCGTTATATCCGAAGTCTCATTATATGTGTCACAGTTGGATGGGACTTTGCTCCGGGCATGAAAATTATGTCGTTATTCGCGAATTGTCGTTATATCCGCAGTCGTTATTAGCGAAGTTGACTGTACGTGTAAGACTGTACCATCGACAAAGAATGAAACGGCTGTCTTCACGAAAAATAAGAACGGGCTAGGCTAGAGGCCAGACCCCCGCCCCCCCAGTTCTTCGGTGCCCTACAGTACTGTAGTGTGTGCAAACCAAGCTCAAACCAAGCTCAAACCAAGCTCAAACCAAGCTCAAACCAAGCTCAAACCAAGCTCAAACCAAGCTCAAACCAAGCTCAAACCAAGCTCAAACCAAGCTCAAACCAAGCTCAAACCAAGCTCAAACCAAGCTCAAACCAAGCTCAAACCAAGCTCAAACCAAGCTCAAACCAAGCTCAAACCAAGCTCAAACCAAGCTCAAACCAAGCTCAAACCAAGCTCAAACCAAGCTCAAACCAAGCTCAAACCAAGCTCAAACCAAGCTCAAACCAAGCTCAAACCAAGCTCAAACCAAGCTCAAACCAAGCTCAAACCAAGCTCAAACCAAGCTCAAACCAAGCTCAAACCAAGCTCAAACCAAGCTCAAACCAAGCTCAAACCAAGCTCAAACCAAGCTCAAACCAAGCTCAAACCAAGCTCAAACCAAGCTCAAACCAAGCTCAAACCAAGCTCAAACCAAGCTCAAACCAAGCTCAAACCAAGCTCAAACCAAGCTCAAACCAAGCTCAAACCAAGCTCAAACCAAGCTCAAACCAAGCTCAAACCAAGCTCAAACCAAGCTCAAACCAAGCTCAAACCAAGCTCAAACCAAGCTCAAACCAAGCTCAAACCAAGCTCAAACCAAGCTCAAACCAAGCTCAAACCAAGCTCAAACCAAGCTCAAACCAAGCTCAAACCAAGCTCAAACCAAGCTCAAACCAAGCTCAAACCAAGCTCAAACCAAGCTCAAACCAAGCTCAAACCAAGCTCAAACCAAGCTCAAACCAAGCTCAAACCAAGCTCAAACCAAGCTCAAACCAAGCTCAAACCAAGCTCAAACCAAGCTCAAACCAAGCTCAAACCAAGCTCAAACCAAGCTCAAACCAAGCTCAAACCAAGCTCAAACCAAGCTCAAACCAAGCTCAAACCAAGCTCAAACCAAGCTCAAACCAAGCTCAAACCAAGCTCAAACCAAGCTCAAACCAAGCTCAAACCAAGCTCAAACCAAGCTCAAACCAAGCTCAAACCAAGCTCAAACCAAGCTCAAACCAAGCTCAAACCAAGCTCAAACCAAGCTCAAACCAAGCTCAAACCAAGCTCAAACCAAGCTCAAACCAAGCTCAAACCAAGCTCAAACCAAGCTCAAACCAAGCTCAAACCAAGCTCAAACCAAGCTCAAACCAAGCTCAAACCAAGCTCAAACCAAGCTCAAACCAAGCTCAAACCAAGCTCAAACCAAGCTCAAACCAAGCTCAAACCAAGCTCAAACCAAGCTCAAACCAAGCTCAAACCAAGCTCAAACCAAGCTCAAACCAAGCTCAAACCAAGCTCAAACCAAGCTCAAACCAAGCTCAAACCAAGCTCAAACCAAGCTCAAACCAAGCTCAAACCAAGCTCAAACCAAGCTCAAACCAAGCTCAAACCAAGCTCAAACCAAGCTCAAACCAAGCTCAAACCAAGCTCAAACCAAGCTCAAACCAAGCTCAAACCAAGCTCAAACCAAGCTCAAACCAAGCTCAAACCAAGCTCAAACCAAGCTCAAACCAAGCTCAAACCAAGCTCAAACCAAGCTCAAACCAAGCTCAAACCAAGCTCAGCCAAAGCTCAGCCAAAGCTCAGCCAATGCAGCAGCAGCAGCAGCTTGCCCCTGCCGCAATTACTAGTAGCCATCCGTCGCCATACTCACCTCTAAATGCCATCAAGTGTATAGAACCACCCAAGAGTGTGCTACTCTGCATATGGGGTCTCCGACGGCGAAAACTCACATCACGTGTCTCAGATACGTTTGTACGTAGTACAAACGAAGGATAGCGTGCGCGCAATCCGAATATCTGCCATGATCATGCTGGGGATTTGCATGCCCGCAGTGAGTTTCTGTCAGAGTGCTTTTTTTATTACTCCGTTGCTCGCTAAAAACGGGCTGGAAACGTACAACTGCGACACTGCACCACGTGGTGTGAGTTTTCGCCGTTGGCGTACCCCATAGAAAGGGTATCAGGAGTTGCACACTTTTGGGGGGTTATATACTCTTGATGCTATTCATCAGTTCATGGCACAGCCCTCAAACACATGAAACACAGACTGAATAGAGAGGTTGCCTCTCTGGAAAACTGCATGAAAACTACATGTATGAAAGAAAGTGTGTGTCCACAGTGAGAGATGAGGTATGAAAGGTTCATGAAGTACATGTACTACTATATGACTGTAGTACATGACTGTAGTGCATGACTGTAGTACATGACTGTAGTACATGACTGTAGTGCATGACTGTAGTACATGACTGTAGTACATGACTGTAGTATATGACTGTAGTACATGACTGTAGTGCATGACTGTAGTGCATGACTGTAGTGCATGACTGTAGTACATGACTGTAGTGCATGACTGTAGTACATGACTGTAGTGCATGACTGTAGTACATGACTGTAGTACATGACTGTAGTATATGACTGTAGTACATGACTGTAGTGCATGACTGTAGTGCATGACTGTAGTGCATGACTGTAGTATATGACTGTAGTACATGACTGTAGTACATGACTGTAGTACATGACTGTAGTACATGACTGTAGTACATGACTGTAGTGCATGACTGTAGTACATGACTGTAGTACATGACTGTAGTACATGACTGTAGTACATGACTGTAGTACATGACTGTAGTACATGACTGTAGTGCATGACTGTAGTGCATGACTGTAGTGCATGACTGTAGTGCATGACTGTAGTACATGACTGTAGTACATGACTGTAGTACATGACTGTAGTACATGACTGTAGTGCATGACTGTAGTGCATGACTGTAGTACATGACTGTAGTGCATGACTGTAGTGCATGACTGTAGTGCATGACTGTAGTGCATGACTGTAGTACATGACTGTAGTGCATGACTGTAGTGCATGACTGTAGTACATGACTGTAGTACATGACTGTAGTACATGACTGTAGTGCATGACTGTAGTACATGACTGTAGTACATGACTGTAGTACATGACTGTAGTACATGACTGTAGTGCATGACTGTAGTGCATGACTGTAGTGCATGACTGTAGTATATGACTGTAGTGCATGACTGTAGTACATGACTGTAGTGCATGACTGTAGTACATGACTGTAGTACATGACTGTAGTATATGACTGTAGTGCATGACTGTAGTACATGACTGTAGTACATGACTGTAGTGCATGACTGTAGTACATGACTGTAGTACATGACTGTAGTACATGACTGTAGTACATGACTGTAGTGCATGACTGTAGTGCATGACTGTAGTGCATGACTGTAGTATATGACTGTAGTGCATGACTGTAGTACATGACTGTAGTGCATGACTGTAGTACATGACTGTAGTACATGACTGTAGTATATGACTGTAGTATATGACTGTAGTGCATGACTGTAGTGCATGACTGTAGTGCATGACTGTAGTACATGACTGTAGTACATGACTGTAGTACATGACTGTAGTACATGACTGTAGTACATGACTGTAGTACATGACTGTAGGTTTTCTGTAGAGCAGAACAACCTAAGCATTAGCGCCAGAAGAGCAGAAGAGCAGAAGAGCAGAAGAGCAGGAGAGCAGGAGAGCAGGAGAGCAGGAGAGCAGAAGAGCAGGAGAGGCAGAAGAGCAGGAATGTGGACTAGGACTGCCTCTTACCGACCGATGCAGGACATTCTTGGTGCAAATAACACCCCATACGACTTCACAGTCACTGTGGCATCCACCAGGTACCTACACCCAAACACATGTACACATATACATTATACATCAGCGAGAGCACAGGCACAACAGTGACCAAAATTCTACTGCTTCATAAGTCTGATTCCAGTGTCAAAACACTCATCGAAGCATTTTTGGCAATGTGATAAGCAATGCGACAGCCGCAAGATGGCGAAAAACCAACTCTAACTGCATCCACTGGGCAGCATACGTAACCACCGCAACTGGCTGATCGCAGTGGTTGAGCTCGGCTCAACTTTCGTCATGCTACCTACGATGCGGACCTTCTTAGCAGCAAAAAATGTAAGTTAGGGTCAAGATTTGCTTGTAGATTTGTAAAAGTTACCTTAACGCCATGGAGTTGTACACAGCTGCATTGCAAATCGAGTTGAATTTGTATCGCTTACATCCACACAAATCACTACAAGATGTACACATACATGCCCATTTCCAAAATCCTGGACCACTCTGAAACATTTTCACAATCCTGGACCACTCTGAAACATTTTCACAATCCTGGACCACTCTGAAACATTCCCACAATCCTGGACCACTCTGAAACATTTCCAAAATCCTGGACCACTCTGAAACATTTTCACAATCCTGGACCACTCTGAAACATTTCCAAAATCCTGGACCACTCTGAAAAATTCCCACAATCCTGGACCACTCTGAAACATTTCCATAACCCTGGACCAATGTGAAAAAAGCTTAGGATTTACAGTGGCCTATAGCGAATGTATACAACAATGCCCTTGTCCATTGGGCATTTCAAATAGAGGATTCATGGAAACATAATGCATCATTAGCAGGGAATTCGCAATGGGACATAGGCAACATACTTTCTTGAACTGGGTGTAATCCCTTGCGTTCATGTGGTCGTTTCTCTCCTGATTAGGCAATACCTAGGTAGACGCACAACATGAATATACACCATCAACACAAACAAGTACAAGCATCAACAGAAGAGAAAGGGGTCAAGAGTAAACACGCACACGCACACGCACACACACATATCTCTGAATACGAAAGAAAGCAAATGATCACAAGCATGATGACACATACTGTACCTGACACATGCTGTACCTGACACATGCTGCACCTGCAACCACGAGTGTGTGCGTGCACCTTGCTGGTGCAGCATGCTGATTGCTTGTCCTACTATTGCTCCACTCGGCAATTGTCCCGTTTAACTAAGTCCCTTGCTACAAAAGAACTTGCAAGCACAATAGTCAACTGCATAGTTGTCCTAGCGAAGAAAAGTTATTTCATCATACCAAAGCTTGCCAAGTCAGTCTCTCTGACGACGCAGCACTGATTTCAAGTCAGTCTCTCTGACGCACAAGTTCTCTCTGACGCAGCACTGATTTTGATGTCTGCAATAGGACAGAAATTGACCTAGTCACGATAGAAGGCTGCACTTTGCTCTTTCAATGAAAAAAAAACAGATAAGAAAGAAGGAATGAAAAAAGTTTTAGATGAAAAAAGCAACTCACATTCTCACTGACATTGACAATAATTCTCATGATGTGCTCCATCCATTTGTGTGAAAGACCATGGACTAACAACTGTTGCTCGAGTAGTTTACGAAGGTGGGCTAGGCGTTGCTTCCTACACACGTAGCATACATGTATGTGCAACAATGAGAATAGGTACTTCAAGTACTGTAAGACATGTTATTATAACGAGTCGCAAATTTAACGATTGTCCAAAATTCATAGGTTAACGAGAAGATATGTTAACGATCTTGCAGTATTCTGCCATATCCACACACAGCATATATGAAGCAGTACGGCCTCAACGGATCTTATTATAACGAAGAAATGACATCCGTTAAAACGTTAGATTTGCTTCCTCGTTATATATACATGTCTTACAGTACACTGTACATGTGCCCGTTATCTGAGCACGAGAGCACTACACAACAACAACAACAACAACAACAACAACAACAATAGTGCACAAAAAGGTGAAGCCTGCTCTTAAATTAAAATTATGCTAGCTCTCTCTGTCTCTGTCTCTGTCTGGCTCTCTGCCTCTCTGTCTCTCTCTGTCTCTCTCTGTCCCTAGACATCAAATTTGTTGATGAAATCATTTCAAATCAATAAGTTTATCAACATCCATTGCCACAGTAGCCAAGCCATGCTGCAATGTACCATAGCATGCTAGCAGCGTAGTGTTCATCTGTGTGACTGGGGTATGAGATTGCTCTTTGACAGAGCAGCTCAATCTTCGCTTCTCCTTCAAGCAGTAACATCGACCAGAAAACACTTTTGAAGCGCTCTCAAAGACGTTTTTGTCGTGTTTGTTCTTGAAAGCACTTGAAAGTTGAAACCATGACAAGTGCAGGGCAGTTCACAGCAGTGGAGGTCGTGGCCGAGGCAGGCCCAGAATGTCATGGCTTGATAATATTATTTCATGGACTGCACTTGACGTGCAGTCCCTGCTCGCTGCTGCAAGCGATCGATTTTTATGGCGCTCGCTTGTTCATACTTGCTCTGTGACGCCCCGATGGCCTTAGGGCTATGGGCTTGTGATGATGATATAAGAGGTTTATACTGGGTATATATGGGGTTTATATGCCCATTATAAACCACCTGCATGATGGGGCAGTTGACTGGAAGTTTGTATGAAAGGTCAGCATAATGGTCTATCCAGCTATCCAGCTCCTATACTCACTACATGTATATCGTCCATATATCAACGATAATAGCCTTACGTGAACGACTCCCTGAAGCTCTCTTCATGAACAGTTGATGCAGCTCTAAAACGTCCTCCTTGATCTTCATGACTGTCATGTGAATCCATCTGTTGAAAGAGTGCTTTAAAATCATGCACTGCAACGGATCCACTCCTCAATGATGACAGAGTGTATCTAGAAATAGACACCAGAAAAACACACACACACACACACACACACACACACGCACTCACGCACGCGCACGCACGCGCGCGCGCACGCACACACACACACACACATTCATACACCCATACCGTAAAGTCCGCTGCAAACGCCCACACCATTTTTGCAAGATCTGCTGGCCCCTACGCACTGACCCCATGCACCGTCACCGCTATCGTACGAAAGTGCAGCTCACACCGTGAGCGCTTTGCTACGGTAAACTATGCCCACTTTCCTGGTTTCAAAATCTCTTTGGGCACTAGCTACGAGATAGCTCGTAGTGATGATTATGATGTTGGTTGTTTTATTCCCGTAGCTATGCAAACGGAAGTAACGTCTGGCGCTACCCAGGGTCCACACAGCTTTAATTCCGTTTGTTTGTTTGTGCCTGACGACGGCATGCCTGGCGCTATCCCGTACATGTTCCGTACCATCAAATACAGCTGACCACCTTCTTCTTGGAAGAATGTGTATGTATGTAAAGTGCATCAGGGAATGCATGCAGGACGATAGTGCGGGTTCGAATCCCATGTTATGCTTTAAAAAATTGGAGAAATGAAATAATTATGACATCGCTATGCTTTTTTGTGTCTGTTTAGAGAGGAAATAAATAGTATTCACAAACAAGTCCCACTTATTGTTTCTGTTCGTAGAAGGAAATTGCAATGTTTTGGTCATATTGTTCGTTCCGGCTGTTTGTCATTGACTGTTCTTCAGGGTTGTGTTGCTGGAGGTCGTGGCCGAGGCAGGCCTAGAATGTCATGGCTTATCAATATATTATTTCATGGACTGCACTTGACGTGCAGTCCTTGCTAGCTGCCGCACGCGATCGATTTTTATGGCGCTCGCTTGTTCATACTTGCTCTGTGACGCCCCGACGGCCTTAGGGCTTATGATGATGATGATGATGATGATGATGCTTTTTTGCCTAGGTGAGTTTATCGAATGGAAGGAAATCTCGACAGAAGTTTTTCTTTGATGCAAGATAACGACAATCGCTTTAGCAGAGCCTCCTGGTAAGACAGACAGTTTGTAGGCATTACAGGCATTACAGTCGTTCTCGTTTTCTTGGTCAAATCTCAATGGTGAAATATGTAGGTCGAAGTGAAAACTCTCAGCTGTCTCCTTGAATAATTCCCAAAGCGATAGGAAGAGTAATTCTTGGGTTAGAGCACTCGTCATTTTGTTCCCAGGACATTTGCGCTCAGAGTGCGACGCGTGGGTCAACAACGGCTGGGATTTTCCCTGTTTACACCGCCCGTTTACAAGGCTACACCAAATGAAATTCAAAAGTAGGTTCCTGGGAGTGTCTATGAAAGAAAATAGAGTTCGATATGAGCAACGAGAGGTAAATGGCGGATGGAGATCACCTAGAGTTTGAGCTCGGCGCTGGTGTGCCTTCCCTGGCTTAGAGCGTCGCCGGGCCAGTGCATCCTATGGAGCCGAGTGTACACTCATTGCATTCCTCTCGTCAAGGCCTTTCCAGGATGCCCAAAATCATGGAAATTGTATAATGCAAACCAAAGTTACTTCCAATTCTAGGTACAGATTTGGTGATGGCGTGTGTTCGTAGACTTTTTAATCGGACAATAAAGGGACAACGAGAGAGCTTGGAAGCTCAGGGCCCTACGCTATGCTTTGTTACTTAGCTCATCGTGCATGTTGTGGGAACTGATGGAAATGTTTCCTGGGAAGGCGCTGACTCTGCCGAGCACGCGCGTTCTGGAGTCGACGGGATCACTCTGCCGACGTTTCCTGTGACCGGCGCTGACTCGCCCGTTCACGCCTATTTTGGAGACGACGGGATCTCTCTTCCAAAGTATGTTTTTGCTGACGCATCTTATCACCTATTCGGCAACTAACATCCATTCTAATTTCATTTCCTCCTCGTCTCCCTATTTCTTTCCGGAAAGTCTCTCTATACATCAGGGAGTCGTACTGTATTGGCAGCTACCCTAACGGGTCACGCCGCCCACCACCCAAGCATGGGTATGATGAGGGACAGTGGCAACAGAAACAAAAAAACAGCAAGCAGGGAGAGAAAGCAAGAGAAAGACGGCGATAGTAGTACATCTGGTGTGCGACGTATAGAAAAGAGAGATGACAAGAGATGCGCACAAAATAGGAAACAATAAATATTTTTGCAGTTCCGAAACAATCAACCAGGTGATGAGGTGTGGGCACCCGAAGTCCCACCTGGACTCCACTGGAAGAACATCCCACGCAGGGATATCAGCGATAGGCCAAGCGTTGAAAAACAGCCATGAGGACACATCGTCTAGAAGTCCACCGCGCTCGAACTGAAGTTGCAGGTTCAAACAATTTCACACGCGGCGTCAGGCAGCGTAACTCTTCTCCCTGCATCACCATCCATCTCCAGCAACCGTCTCCACTCACAGCTCATGCCTCTGCCACCACTGTACTCCTCAGAGCTTCGCAGTTTGAAACCATTCGGGGGTCAGCTACACCACCGCGAATGGAGAGACGAGGACGACAACGGTCGTGACTGAAAAGACACTGCCTTGGCGACCGCGTCGCGGAACCCTCGCCCCAGCAAATTCAGAAATACGCCAGGGGCAACTCTGGTGGACCCAGAGCCACCCCCTTGGCAAGACTAGTAAGAGGAACGACTGAAAACTCAGATAAAACGGAGCTACAAAAAGTGCAACCGTCCCCTTCAAGCACAGTTGCAACACACAGGGAGTCGTATACATGTACATAATATTGTGGCCAGCTGTTTGTAGCCAGCTGTGTTTGATGGTACGGTACGGTACAGGACAGATACGACAGCCAGCAAATGGCCAGCTGTGCGATACGGTACGGGACAGATACGGGTTAGCGCCAGGCGTGACACAAACAAACAAACAAACAAACAAACACCAAATTAAAGCTGTGTGGACCCTGGCTAGCGCCAGACGTTACTGAAGTAACGTCTTCTGCATAGCTACGGGAATAAAGGGACAATAAAGGGTTAAATATCAACAATAGGGACAAACCTTTGAGATGGAGTAGTTGGTACTACACCGCTAGATAGACCATGGCGTGATGTGTCATCAAAAGACTGCTGCTGCTGCTGTTGCTGCTGCAAAGCTGCTGTGGTCAAGTCCTGAACACATCACGCATATCACGCACATCACGCACACCATGTACATCACGCACATCAAATAACAAAGAAACAAGCAATGAGTGATTCAGACAATTGCAGGATAAAAGAGGTTGCGCATAATGAAAATGTGCAAGATTGTGAAGACACACCTACAGACTGAAAAAGCCCTCTGAGGCTCACCAACAAAAAGAATTAGTTTCTGAGTTCAATAACACAGCCACGCAACCATGCAGTCACATAGTCACACACAGTTACACAGTCAGACTCAGCACTCAGTTACATACTTAGTAGTACACAGTCACATAGTAACATACATGTACTTACACATACACAAAGGCAGAAGAGAACAGAGACAGCCGGCTAGGTCTTTGTTGTAACGCTGCGTTTCATGCACATAGCAAAGCTAAGGCAAACCTCAGACAACTGATAACCTGTACATCATCTGGGTCCAAATTTATACCCAGGCAGGTAGCTAAAAAAGACGTACAGCAACATCTCAAAAAGATGCGGCCTGTGCTTAGCGGAGAAGGTCAAAATCATCCGCGCTGACGCAGCCACGCTCCTCAACAAAAAATCAGAATTAGTATCAAAATGTCGACACCAGAATAAGTTCTACCTCTCGCGCTACGGCACTGGCATCACTTAGTCACCTGCATGCCGCCACCGGCACCTGCCTGCCGCCACCAGGCCCAGGCCAGGGCCTGCCTGCCCGCCGTCACTGTAACTAACGTGTTACTTGACTGTCACCCCTCCTTCTCGCCCTCCTTTTCTCACCTCGCATGTAATAACCGACACCATCCGCACCATGTCTCCCTAACTAACGTATCACTTGAAATGTCACACTAATGTCGCGCTTTTACCACCTTTGCGCGCTATGCCACCTGCTTTTTCGCGCTTCACTCACTTTGCGCTCTTTTTTAGCTACCTGCTTGGGTATAAATTTGGACCCAGATGATGTACAGGTTATCAGTTGTCTGAGGATTGCCTTAGCTTTGCTATGTGCATGAAACGCAGCGTTACAACAATGACCTAGCCGGCTGTCTCTGTTCTCTTCTGCCTTTGTGGTAATGCTCCATCCTTGTGGTGTTGAGCACTCTAGGCAATCTGGGAACTCTCGCTATTGTGTACTTACACATACATGTACTTACACAATCACTCAGTTACATACACCTAAGTGACACAATCACTCAGTTACATACACCTAAGTGACACAATCACTCAGCAACACACTCACATAGTCACACAGCTAACCAAAGTCAAGGGTAGATGCCTGCACCACATCACAGGAGCAATACTAGTTTCTGATTGATACTGACACACTTTACGATTCAACGACTTAGATGAGAGATGAGGGAGAGCACTGTTCTTATAGGGTAAGGATGCACCAAATTGGTGCAACATTCTGCAAGAAGGGAACCAAAGGTGTGAATAAAACAAAGCGAAGCGGTGTGACTAATGCTGTACTAAATAAAATATCAAAGCTGTACTAAATAAACACTAGAACATAGAGAAGCAAGAACACTAAAGAGAAGAAAGATAGGTGAGAGAGCAGAAACGCAACAACAAGAGGTGACGGAACTCGCACGCACGCACGCACGCACACACACACACACCACACACTCCACTACACACACACCACACACACACACACACACACACACACACACACACACACACACACACACACACACACACACACACACACACACACACACACACACACACACACACACACACACACACACCAAAGAGAAAACCAGGAGCTAACACACACACACACACACACACACACACACACACACACACACCTCAGACCTGCCCATCGCAGAAGCGATGATAGCGAACAGCTATGTTAGACATAGCAACTTGTGCTGAGATTTAGGGCTGCAACGAATATTCTATTTCACAAACGAACGAATACTCATCCATAACGAACGAATAACGAATATTCTCTCAAAATGCTGAATTATTTCTAAGGGTGAAACAATTATTTAAATAGGAACTAAATCGAATTTTTTTGTAAATGAATCGAATAATTCTATACCAAAAGAATCTTAGAAAGAGTTTGGCTAGTCCCCAGTTGTTCTCGACCAAGTAGATGTCTAGTGGAGTCATGTCCACTACTCCTGTGAGTCATAGTCCCCTTTCTCAACACATAACACATGTACATATCACTTCATCCGTTCAAGAATTACTACAAATAGATCGACAGGAGCAGAGTGTGCGCACGTGTCAAAACGAAAGAATATTCTAAAGGGGAAAATATTCCTTCCATCGGGTTCCTAACGAATATCAATCGAATATTCGAATATTCCTTGCAGCCCTACTGAGATTACACCATTCAACAGCTTGCAAGGCTGATGAATTGACCGCCATTAATTTTAGCCTGGTATCCACCACACAGCTGATTGAAGTGGCTTTTTCCGGCCAGTGAATCCCTATTTTTCATTTTTTCATTTTCACACACACACACACACACACACACACACACACAACCTCTCCAGGTACTTACCGCATCTGCAGCATTGGCTGTCTGAACAGTACTAGTACTAGTACCACCACCAAACGATGCACTAAACTGGCGATGGCGAGTGTCTTCTGCCATGCTATGAGTAGCAGTACCAAGTGATGGAATGGTCTCTTGTGTACGCACCAGTTCTGCACAACACACGCGCGCACGCACGTACACACGCACACACGCACACACACACACACACCAATTGACCATTCGACGATGCTACAGCAGAAGCCATAGCAACTTGTGCTGGGATTGCACTATTCAACAGCTTGCAAGCCTGAAGAATTGACCGCCACTATTCAGCCTGGTCTACACCACACAGCTATGAAGTGGCTTTTTCTGGCCAGTAAATCCCTACTTTTTGGTCTTTTTCATTTTTTTAACGCACACACATCACACCACATACTCCGGTATGCACTGGCTGTTGGTAACCACACAGGAGAATGTAAGAAAAGTCAGGAGGAGTCTGAGAAAGAGACCATAATCGTCGTGAATCGAACCCGCAACCTCTCGATCGGAAATCGCTGCACATACCACTGCACCATATCGGACGAGCGGACGCGACGTTGGTAGGAGGACCGGCAACCGCGAAAGCAGGTTATTGCCCACCGTACGAGGCAGAACGCCAGCCGAACACGCAATGCACTGACGATGCCTGAATACCTACTACTGCTGCTGCTGCTGCTGCTGCTGCTACTACTACTACAGCGGCGGCCATAGTGCTAAACTATAACTTACTTAGTGGTAGAGGTGGAATGTGCTGGACAGGCGCAATCAGATGTCCACATATACAGGATATATCCACCCATACAAGCAGATGTCCACAGATACAGGATATATCCACCGATACAAGCGAGCAGACAGGAAACACACGCACACCATACACACATACACACACACACACCATACACACACATACACACACACACCATACACACACACACACACACACACACACACACACACACACACACACTCAGACTCAGACATGCCCATCGCGGAAGCGATGATAGCGAACAGCTATGTTAGACATAGCAACTTGTGCTGGGATTACACCATTTAACAGCTTGCAAGGCTGATGAATTGACCGCCACTAATTTTTTAGCCTGGTATCCACCACACAGCTGTTTGAAGTGGCTTTTTCTGGCCAGTGACACACACACACGCACACACACGCACGCACGCACACGCACACACACACACACACACACATACACACATACACACATACACATATGCACTCTTGTGCACACACTGACACAGACAGACACAAACAGACACAGCTCAACAAATGCATGCACCTCTTTCTCCGAAGCGAACGCGTAGCTGTACATTCAGTGCAGATATCTACTTTACATTATATTATTATCTACGTACAAGACAACAATGTACAACGTCGTCATGTATATCTACCAAGCTGCATAGCTAGCGGACCGCTCTGGCCTAGGCCGACTGGGCCATAGCGGGGGGGGGGGGGGGGCGCGCGCGCATGTCGCATGGCCATCGGTTAGTGGCCACACCTGAACTATGGTCGGAAAAAATCAGGGGGGTTCGTTTGAACCCCCCGAACCCCCCCCCCCCCCCCCCCCTCCTGAATCCGCCCCTGCACTGTATACCCCCACTGTATACCCACTGCATACCCACTGTATACCCACTGTATACCCATTGAACACACATTGTACACCTTTTTATTACCCCACAGCCAAAACTGTACAAGTCATCATAGAACTGGGGATTGCTACATAAAACATAATAAATGTGATTCCAACATTTCTGTCCTTCCCATGGTCTGATTTCACACTGGTTTTGACCAGTCTTCATCTCGCATTGCCCTCCAACGAAGGAAAACAAGAAGAAGAGAGTACCTGACGGCGTTTTGCAAGACCTTTGAACCAGGATGGTTCTTCTTCATCCAAGTCATCCACTGGCTCTGCTGCCTTAACTCTGATGTTGTCCATCTCCACTTGACCAAGCTAGGAGAGATGGGTACACACAACAATAATAGCCAGATGTTTCAAGTTTCAACTATGAAAACATCACTTGAAACTGTCAACAAGTCAAACTACGTGAACAAGTCCGCAGCATAGCAACAGATAGTTACTACGTGAACAAGTCCGCAGCATAGCAACAGATAGTTAAAAAAAAAGCTATAAATGAACCAAACCAGAACCACCCCAAGAGTACATACAGAGTGTGCAACTCCCGCATACCCTGCTGTTCCGGCAGAATATCAAAGGTGATGTCATTGTTAGAATGCAATGCTCATTGCACCAGTCATTTACGGCATTTGTACGAGGAGGCGTGAACACATCACACATGTTTCCTCAAACTAGTTTGAAGAGGATCAAATGGGCCTTTATCCACTACAGGTCCAGGATAGTTTGAAGAGGATCAAATGGGCCTTTGTCCACTACACGTCCAGGATACGTCTGATAATACGCGTACAATACACACTGCATCATAACAATTACGTCAACTTGAAATTTCGTCAAGACAGCACCCATAGTGGAGTTGCACACTCTTGGGAGGTTGTGTACTCTTGGCATAACTTGATAGCTAAAATGAACATTCATGTTCAGAACTGATAACAAGTAAGTAAGTTTGCACGTCCACGTTACAACTGGCTGCTGTAGAGGCAGAAAATTTCGTCGGTCAATAATTTCGTCCAACTCCAAAGAAAAGGAGTTCGTCCGGTTGAAAATTTTGTCCATGGACCATAAGAGTGTATAGAAAAGCTGGGCAAATCGACATTAGTCCTACATTTAATTTAGTCCGAAAGCTCCTTGGACGAAAAAGACGAAATTAAATTCCAGACGAATATTTTTGCTTATACAGTATACGCTGAGAAACACAACCAGCTTGGGAAGTTTCACTCGTGCCAGGCCACCATCATGCCTGTAATACCAGGGTGGCAGATGCAGCGCCTAAAGGCGAGGGTGAGAAGCTACACATAAATGAATACCATATTTTCCGCAGTGCTAGCTGCACCTTAAAATGCCTAAAAAAACTCAAAATCGCCCCTGTGGCTTGGACTCCCGAAAGCTGAATGTGAATCGACCAGCGGTGCAGCGCTTTGCGCATACAACGGAAGTATCCATGAGAGGAAACTGTAGTTATCAGCCACCCTGACAGCTGTAGTTATCAGCCACCCTGACAGTTGGAATTATCACCCACCCTGACTGCTGGAGTTATCACCCACCCTGACAGCTGTAGTTATCACCCAACTTGACAGCTGTAGTTATCACCCACCCTGACAGCTGGAGTTATCACCCACCCTGACAGCTGGAGTTATCACCCACCCTGACAGCTGGAGTTATCACCCACCCTGACAGCTGGAGTTATCACCCACCCTGATAGCAGCCAGATAGCGCCACCGCTGCCTGGTGACCCAAGCTAGACACCCTTGCCACGCGGTGGGGGCAGTCCTCACGCAGTCCTCACACAGTCCTCACGCAGTCCTCACCCAGTCCCCATACAGTCCTCACGCAGTCCTCACTCAGTCCTCACTCAGTCCCCATATAGTCCTCACGCAGTCCTCATACAGTCCTCACGCAGTCCTCACGCAGTCCTCCCACAGTCCTCACACAGTCCTCACGCAGTCCTCAGGCAGTCCTCAAGCTAGTCACAAATTAGTCAGGCCCGTGAGTTGTTGACATGTCTTTAGGATCACAGTTACACTGGATAGCAGCACCGTTCAGTGGCATGGCCGTGGGCCGCACTGCTAAGGCAGCAGCAGCCTTTGGCCAGTAGCGCAAATGACCGGCCACCGTCAAGGACACGCTCTCACTTTGGGTCACAGAAGCGACACAGGCACATTGGACACACCCTACGTAGCCCCAGGGAGGCCTCTAATTAGGGACTCATCAGAGTCAAGCAGGACACAGCCTGTCCAAGTTTGGTGAAAATACAAGAAATATGCTATCCCCAAACACATGTATGGTGGTTGTGTGAACCAACATGTGGGAGCCTGCGACCACGTGGGGGGGGGGTGATCAATGCATGTATTTTCTCTTCCCCATTTTATTCTCTTCTCTCTGACCTTTGCTTCCCTTTTAGCATGCATGGCGTCATGCTAGAGCAATATGTCATTGCGATAGTAATTAGGGACTCATCAGAGTCAAGCAGGACACAGCCTGTCCAAGTTTGGTGAAAATACAAGAAATATGCTATCCCCAAACACATGTATGGTGGTTGTGTGAACCAACATGTGGGTGCCTGCGACCACGTGAGGGGGAGTGATCAATCATGTTTCGCGCCGCTCGACTACTTTTCACATACTGCAATCCATCGTCGCACTAATGCCAAGCTTCTACATGCTGTCTGTTCCAAGTGTAGGACAAACTAGGAAACTTTGAAACTTCTCCTTGAACTTCAGTTGTGCTTCTCAACTTTTGCACCATTGGTACCGCCTTGTAATGGTACCTTGTAAACTGATTTGATGTCATAATTGTTGCAGTGGAATATGAAGTTCGGATGGCCTAACATGTTTAAAAGTCTGACGTGCAGCTTATACTCCGAATGCCAACCAACATATGAAGTGCGGGTGTGAAAGTGGGGAGGGTGCTGCTTAGACCTCGCCCCGGTGCGGCTAGCACTTACTTTGGAAAATACAGTATTCACGGTATGATCCATGGGCTAGATTTCTGGCCTATTTTTCATGTGTGCAGTGAGAAGCAAAAAGCATGACGTTGATGGCGGAAAATACAGGAGAGAGATCAATACGTGTACTGTTGGAGCATGTGAATGATGTGATCCACTCATCCGTATACATGTACGGACTAGTGTATGCCAAGTATCTCTAAAAACATACCGGTCCAACTTTGTAGAGACAGTATTCATCTTTGAAGCTATGCTCTTCACTCGCAGCTGGCTCGATCCGATGACTATCTAATAAAGCCTGACCAATACTCAACGCCATGTTGCTGACCCGCACAACAACAACAACCAACAACACAATACCCAGCACATGCACACATACAATACACCCGCACAGCCGCACACATGCACACACGCACACATGCACGTACGCACAGCCGCACACATGCACGTACGCACAGCCGCACACATGCACGCACACACACACACCCGCACACATGCACGCACGCACACCCGCACACATGCACGCACACACACACACACACACACACACACACACACACACACACACACACACACACACACACACACACACACACACACACACACACACATATATCATTAACCCTTTGAGCCCGAACCACGAGTTAACTCGTGTTCAAAAACAACCTAAAATCCGAAGCACGAGTTTACTCGTGTGTGACGGTGCATGTTTGTGCAGTGCATACACATCACTGTTCAAATTGTCGTAACTCCATTGTCCTTTCTCCGATCGCCAAGGATGAGGGCTCATTGGAAAGCTGAGAGAATAAGCTTTCCAACGATGTGTCGTTTGATATAGCGCGATCAAGTATCACTGAGCGCCGATGAGTGAAACACAAATACGCTTGAATTTGTTTCGAAGTGCGTGCGTGGCGAGCACGGCAGTGCTCAAACGGGACTTCCCCAGTGACTCATGGTTGCATAGCGCATGCGTACTGGAGACCAAATGAATCGCTTGAGCTTCAGGAATCTGCTGGACTTTGAATCACCATTCCACGTTGAGTAAAACGTCAGAACCGATGAAATTTGTGGATGTGGGTACAGTATCTCGCTCAGGCGCAATAGGGCAGCTCTCAAAAGACATGAAGGCAATTCTGTTGCTCCTGTTGAGTATTTAGTGGCGATATCTGGAGAGAGGAGATCTGTAGCTTTCCAAAGAGACCTAGATGGAGATATTCCAAATCTGGTGAGTGGAAATATATAATTTTGAAATGCATACTGGGACTTTCGGGCGGTCGATCGCGCACCTCTGCGCGAACCCTGTAGGAATCCATGGATGCCATGGTAGGGCTCAAAGGGTTAAGCACTTCTTGAGTAAACAAGAGTAAATAGCCAAGAGTGTGCAACTTGACGACCCTCCAGCCCACAATGAAACAAATTATGACATCAATGTTTCGTGGACATTTGACTCACTGATGGCATTATGCGTAAAAATGTGATGTATATCATCACCATCATCTAATGGACAATGTCACAAAAATGTTGCCGCCCCTCTCAAAAACATGACATATCCCGGAAAACCAAGGCAAATCCAGGGATTTTACCCTGACGATCCACAAAACCATTCTCAGTACTTGGCAGGTATGCACACTCTATGCAACCAACGATAGCATAACAGGACAGCAAACGGAGCTGCTATGTGCACATAACACACTCAACTTGACAAAACCACTGGTTCGTCCTTCGTGCATTCAGGAGCTTAATACAAAGAAACCAGACGCAATCTGCTAGCCTGGAATGAATAAAACATAAATCATCAAAGCCAGGATTACAAAGAGGGCACAAGGACGTTGACTCACCGGTTGGCAGCAAACTCTTTGTCAATGAGCCAATCAACAATGGAACTTCCAACCATTGTGTTGGAGTAAGATCTTAGACGATAGCGGTGGGTTTGCAACCCAAGGCCACGTTGCCCAGACACCAAATCGAGCCACACCTCTCGTAAATTATTCGTAGCATCATGGCCAGGCTGGAGTTGAAAAGCACACGCAAGCAAAACAAGGTTTAGTTTCCTCGGAGGATTATAAGGAAAGAAATAAGAAGTGAACAACTTTCTAGGAGACAAAAAGCTAATGACTGGAAGAAAAAGAACAAAATCTCAAACTCTATTCACCACTATCATCAGTAGTCAAGGACTGAAGAAATTTTCACGAATCAGTTTTCGCACATTCTCTTCAAGTGAATTACAAGCAACTAGAACCAATGAAACGTACGGATAAATAGCATCACAAGTGTGGGTGGTAATGAGAAGTATTATTTATATTAAACATTACTCGGTTGCATAGATGTAGCGAATGGGATTTTCGGTCTAGTATTGGAGCTACTCTTCATTTACAGTGTGAATAAATCTCTCTAAACTGGTGACCCTGAACGTTCCTTGTTCCATTGCACCGGAATCTATCCACCATGTCAACGTCGTTGAGAACCAGGAGCAAAGATCGATCCGCTGCCACACCCTTGGATGTGAGTGAGTCTCCATTGTTCCAGCCGCCACAGCAGTCATCCAATCTCACCAGCCATACCCAGTCAAAAGCTGCTACTAGTGCTGCCTCATCTGCTGGGGCTCATCCTGCACCTCGACCAGCATCTGCAGGCCCCATGGTGGCCCCAACTAGTGCTGCGGGTCTGAAGCTGCCGCCATTCTGGCCAAAAGACCCTGCTCTGTGGTTTGCTCTGGTAGAAGCTCTGTTTTTGCAAGCCGCTCCATTACTCCATTACCAGGCAAGCCGCTCCATTACCCCATTACCAGGCAAACCAGGCGTTTTGAGTACGTTGGGGGAGCTTTAGAACCCGATGTTGCCGTCGAGGTCCGGGATCTCATCTTGTCACCACCTGCGACCAAAGGTTATGACCAATTGAAGGCTACACTCATTCATCGCACGCAGGTGTCAAAACAGCAGTGCTTGCGCCAACTCCTAACGCAGGAGGAACTGGGCGATTGGATGCCCAGCCAGTTGCTCCGATGCATGCAGCAGCTTCTGGGTGATGTCCCAATAGATCATAGCCTCCTTCGGGAACTTTTCATCCAACGTTTGCCATCGGGTATCCAAATGGTTCTCGCCCCGTCAACTGTTGCCCTGCCTTTGACACAAGTTGCTGAGATGGCTGACAGGATCATGGAGGTCTCACCTGCCTCGTCCCGGCCAACAGCAGTTGTCAGTTACCAACTCCTGCCCCAGTGTCCGCAGCTATCGCCCACCTACTAGTGAACTCGATGAATTGTGCTCTCAAGGTGCTGCACTTACTGTCGTTGACCGCTTATCTCATTCCCAGCCGTCCAGCCGTTCTGGCAGCCCTGCTGCTTCATGGGGTAGTAGTCCTGTATGTGACCAGATGTGCTTCTACCACAAGAACTTCGGCACTCGTGCCCGCCGCTGTCAGCCTGGGTGTACGTGGTCAGCTGCACAGTCGGAAAACGGGAAGGCCTTTTAAAGTTGTTTCCCGCTGTCATGACTATCATGGATGAAGCGGCAATAAACAGCGGAAAACCCGAACAGACAGCTGCCGTTTCCCGCTCAACATCACATTCTGAGGGGCACATTGTGTCATCGTCAGTGCAACAGGCCGAAAAAGCCCGTGCAAGAGAGTTAAAACCAGGGAGTAGTAAAATACTTCCGGGAGCCCCTTTTCAGCATATTTCCGCCGGCTGTGCTGACACGGGCAGAGGCGTGACTTCATCTTTGCATGCCGGTAGGCCATTCAGGTAACGGTTTCTTGTCAAGCTTTTGTGTTCAATCTTACACTTCAGTTGAGTGTTCTATTTTATTGCTGAACTTGGGTTGTCTTTTTGCTTCGGTTCTTACAAGATGGTTTCACGCGATTGGCTTTGTGAATCAACCCATTCTCAAGTAAAATAACAATTAGCAGAATCAGCCAAGCCAACATTGGACGTAGTCATCAACAAGAATAAAATATGGATAATAAAATTTCCTAACCAGTTTTCTTGAGACATTCGTCGGGGAAATACGTCTCAATAATGAAATCTAGCAACAAACAACAATGTATACGTGGAAGAGTACAAAACATACATTTTGAAAGAAAAATAGGAGAAAAGAATAGCTTTTGCTTTCTATTCGGTCCGCCGCGTTACAATTGGCGCTGATCTTCGCACTTGATTTTTTGGTGTTCTGCCTGCGTCATACTGCACGGCAGTGCACTTGTGCCTGGCACGATCCTGGGGGTGCGGGAAAGTTCTCTTACACACAGAGCAGTTGATAGCAGCATCCGCACCCCTAAGCACTTGTGCGAAGAAGATGTGTCAGCCTCTGTCGAGGTATATACTGCCCTCCACTCGGCGCGAGACTCCCGTACAGTTGCATACCAGCTACTTCCTCCGCGTCATCGAAATTGTTGCAGTTTGACTTTTGATATAAAACGGGGTATTTACTCCCAGCAGTCGTACCACAGTTAAGAAATCGGACATAGACGATAGTCATCAGTATTGGGTGACGGCAAAGGTCTATTTTCTGTTGTTGGAAGCCGAAAATGTTGAACTAGACGCAATTCCTTCGCTGATGTCGCTGTGATGGTACTTTCGACTCGCTGAGATCAGTCAGGCGTTGCAGCCTGCACATTTCTCGTGCTTATAGCGATTCACTCAATAATTCATCACTGTTTTACCTGAGCCGGGGTGAGAATGACTTCGTGGAACAAGCGGCATGGCAGCGCTTGGAGAAACATCGAGGGGTCAGCCAACTAATGCATGCAAGAGCGATAAAATGTATCGCTCTTGCATTCATGCAAGGAATGCTGAGACACTCAGTACGTGTACCTGCAAGAGGGGTGTAGACTCTACATGCAGTGATAGTGATGCAAGCGCAGGTGCCGTACCAGTGATGCTGAAAAAGAGTGCGCGTTCGACGTGATAGTACCGTAATTCCGAGCATATAATATGTGGAGTAATGCAGTTTGGGGATCAAATATCCAGTAGAACATGTTCGTTTTTAGCCCATGGGCCAATATTCGAATTTTGAAGGTTCATGAAAAAGTAAAAGTCCGTGGCCATAGTGGGTCTACCATGCTCTACTGGTAAACTGCACTGACCTGCTGTACCATGGGAGGAAGAGTCCATATTGTGAAAAATTCTACTTTTTATTAGCCCATGGGCTTATAAACGGAGGTGGGCTTATATGCGGATATAGGCCCGTGGGCTTATATGCGCGAAATTACGGTACACTTACCTGCATGAGCAGTGACCACACAGCTAAAATAAATGGGCATGCCACGGCTAAAAAAGTTCATTTCAAGATCGAGGTGATTCCGCCGACGGTAATCAACCGACCTCGCAACGATCGTGTATTCGTACTGCGCTGGTGGTGAAGTAGAAATCATCCAGAGCTAGCAGACGACAAGCATAGCAGCTCTTGCCCTGTGGAGAAAGTCAAAGCGTTTTAGATGAGGCGCGACCAACTTACAACCTTCCTGGAAAATTAATTTGCGGAACGATATTTTTTCGTCCATTGAGGCCTTCACCTCCGCGTGAAACTCTCAGTCCAACTCAACTGTCCTGGAACATTACTCTAGACTTCAGACTATCATCCTGTGTAATAATGTTTGTATGGTTTAGCTTATGGAGTTGTCAGTAACAAGTGACAAGTCACTAGTCAAACTGCGACAATTTCGATGACGCGGAGGAAGTACCATATACATCACGGGGACTTGAGGTCACACACGCACGCACGCACACACACACACACACACACACACACACACACACACACACACACTCACACCCAAGCACGCACGCACGCATACACACACACATCATGCTTGGTCTCTAACCTTGGGTGGTGAAGACATGGGCGCCGCAGACATGGGTGATTTGCTTGGAGTTACTTGACTTGCCCATTCTTGGATACTTTCCAATGTGGCACTAGTGGCAGCAGCAGTACTGCCACTGTACGTGGTGCTTGCTACACTTGATCCAGCACTCTGCACACTTGTTTGCTCATCAAACATTACATTCTTGCGACTGAAACACATCAACAGAAACACACACACAGTATAACCTGGGTTAAGCGACCTCTCGTACAGTAAAGCCTGCCCTAACAAGACGCCCTTGCCGCCTTGGTGCAGCGGAAACCGTACGCATGTGCATACCGGTCTGGCATGCATAAAATATATCAGCAAAAATACAAAAAAAGGAAGAAAAAAGATAGCTGACCTACCGACCGGTATTTTTCTGGCCATGTTACCGGAAACAAGACTTTTTCGGTGCAGCCTTTAACCCTTTGGAGCCCCAAAAGTCCTGATAATTGTATGCGACTGCAATTACGATATATTCTTTACCTTATTTTGGTCATAACTTTGGTGCTTGTTATTGGATTTCCATAATCTTGGGCTTCCTGGGAAGCTCTCCGCGAGCAGAGTAACTAGAGCTCAAATTCAACACCACAGCAGTCACATATCCAACACCACGGCGCCTCGAACAGTCCACAGAGCTGGATATACGAGCGAATGTCCTCAACGCCAGCCATTTCACGCTCATTCATCGTGTAATACTCAATTTTTTGCGCTGAGTATATTTTTATACTGGCCACGTGCAGGAATCGTACCTGGATGAATCAGCATGTCATCCAAGGGGAAATCTCTCACTCAAGGCCAGTCACTGAGAAAAAAGTTCGACTTTTGCCGTGACTGAAATGTCGAGCGCGATATCTCTGCAACGCGACATCTTAGCTCTTCGCCGATTATTGCATTAGAAAGCTGAGCTCTTCGGCTTCTTCCCAGATATTTCGATCGTGGAAATCCGTCAAGTTTCGAGTGAGTTACGAATGTTTTAATTCTTCGACGGTATACCGTCGATATTTGACTGTAAAGGGTTAATATCCGGACATTCTAATTATCCAAACATGTACCCATAACACATTACAGTATGCATATCAAAATGCTCGCATTGTCACGCTGAGTTGCGCTGTGCATCTTAGACACAGATTTCACAGACCCTGAACTGACCAGGACAGCCGACCAGGACAGCCTGCTCATACACACTGACCTGACATGTATACTATCAAGAGTTCATAACCCCAAGAGTGTGCAACTGCCTGCACAGCCTATATGCAGTGCTGCTACGGCAGAACTTCACATCACGTGGCATGGTTCAAAAGGTTACACTGGCAAACAGTGCAAAGTGACCACAAGAGAGTTGAACTCAAAGCGGGGTTGCACACAACCCTGTATCTATCATGCACAGAGTGCAAATAATGTGTACGGGTTCATCGCGTGATGAGAAGTTCTGCCGTCGCAGACCCCATAGCTGGAGTTGCACACTCTTGCCAGTCTTGGGGGTTACGTACTCTTGATAATATACAGTGAACTTCCAATTATGTTTTGCTAACTTCCAATTATCTGCACAAATCCAACACATTTTGTATGTAAGTGGATTCTGTGGGACTTCCAATTAACCAGACATGCCCAGTTCGAGGTTTGAATTATCAGACATTGTTATGTGAGAATCGTATTCGTTGAACTTTTAAAACCCTTTACCATCCGACCAAATTTCCCCAGCAGTCCCAAATGCAATAATTCTTACCTTATTCTGAGAATATCTTCGGTTCTAATCAACCAATTTTCACAATCTTGGGCATTTTGGAAAGCTCTCCACGAGCTGCGTACATTGAGCCCAAACAGGACACTACCGAGATCCCATTTCCAGCGCCAGGGAGCTTCAAATACACCCCATCGCTGGATATGCGAGGAAATTCTCTCCTCGCCAGCCATTTCTCGCTCCTTTATCGTAAACACTCCAAAATTTTTGCATGAGTTTGTTTACACGCTGCCCATGCGCTCAAAGCATGCCAAAGTGACTTCGCTAGCATGTCAGGAGAGGGGAAAATCCCCGCTCAAGGTCAGTCACTCGGAAAGAAATTCGACTTTTGCCGTAGCTGAAATGTCGAGCGAAATATCTTTGGAATGCGACATCGCAGCTCTTTACCGATTGATGCAATGGACAGCTGGGCTCTTCGGCTTCTTCCTAGATACTTAGTTCTTTAAATTCCGACAAGAATCGATCAAGTAACGAATGTTTTAGTGTATGCATGTCCATCGATCTCTAGAGATCGATTCAAGTACGCACGGGTGGTAAAGGGTAAAAGGGGAAATCCGGTGAAAAATTTAAATCTCAGGGTCTGTAGAGTTCGGAGCGCTGAGTCGAATGGTCTTTGTCCGAGGAGGCTGCGGTCTATGGTTCGTCAGATACGCCCAATCGAACATGTGCTAATTTGAGCGTGCACCACCCAGATCCAGGTGATGACGTCACAGCATGCAGCCAGGTAGCCACACCATCTATTTGTGTACAAAATGGCCATATTCGGAGCGCGTTCAATTGGGGAACCGTTTGTCGCAGCTTCTTCGGACCAAGACCATTCGACGCAGTGTTACAAACACTACGCACCCTGTAATTTTCAGCTCGGCGAACCTTGAGGTTATCCTGTATTTTAGCCGTTTCTGAGTTGGACTTTTTCCGTCCGCGGCTATAGTCCGCGCTGGCCTCTAGGTAGCCCTGCGCGTGCGCTGCGTGCATGCTAGCTGTAGTCAACAAACTTATCACACACAGAACAGGACTACTAGTACTCCTGCACAGCCGTGCTGGAGTAGATCTAGAAGACTCTAGTCACCAGACTCAAGAGACTACAAGACACGGCCTTGTCATGTACAGTGTACTACACTCGTATCAGTCGTATATACAGTCATGTAGTCAGGGAACATGCGTTTCTCCTTGCCGGTACCGGTGGTTGTGCTTTGAGAAAGAAAATTTTAGTTTTCCGCATGGAATAGTCCCGCTTCATTGATGCTACAGTGAGTCCACAACCGTGACAAGTGACAAAAAAGTGAACAGCTCCCGGACCTAAAACTTTCAGATCCCGTAGTGTTGCGAGCCTTGAATCGAAGAGTCGTGCCCGTGGTTCAAAGAGCTTGCACTGTTCTCCAATCGAGCAGTCCGAAATATGCCAAGTTCGCACCAAAACATCCCCATGTGGCAGGCCACTAGAGTCCAAGCGAGTCGGTATGGAACAACATTTAGAGCACTCGTATCACTCTTCTCCATCTCGACGACTTTGCTCTCCAGAGATCTGATAATTATATCAGCCTCGTCTGCAATAGCTGCTGCTTCTTCATCAGTCGGAAACGCAACAGCGCTCACTCTTCACCGGCCAGCGCGGCCATTTCTTCAGCAGAATACCGAGGTTCTCAGCCCAAGACCGAACTCATGATGGTCAGCAGTGGCTGCATCCTCACTCTCACATGGAGTTACGTCTTCGGGATCGCTTGCACCATCTACTATCGGTCGCCAAATCATCTGAAATAGCATTGACACTATTGCTTTCACGCACTCCTTTTGACCTAGCTGCACGCTATGACGTTGCGGAGGTTGTGGCGCGGCTGCATGACGTCAAGGCGCAGACCCCGAAACTCAGTTTTTTCAAACGGAAATATCTCAAGAACGCTTTGTCGGAGACATGTGGGACCAACACCATTCGACTCAGTGCCCGAAACTCCACGGACCCTGAAATTTAAGTTTTTCACCGGACTACTCCTTTTCAAAAGCGGTATGTTGGAATACAGCCATATTTGAATTATCAGGATTCCGCCTGTAGACTACATAAACGGATTTCTTTGTGATCATTCTCTGCAAGTCACACGTCTGAAACGGCTTGGCCTACCGTTATTCTACTAATATTGTTAGTCCTCCAAAGGATACTGACTGTGATCCTGTGCTTCCCCTTTACTCTTGGCGCAACGTCATTCAGAGTTAAGCTTGCCAGAATCAGCGTTCTTGATGAGAACGAATCTTCCGAGATGAACAGCATGCACTCACTTTGCATGCAAGTCGTAAAAGGCTTGCACTGACTAGGCGCTTTACAAACTAGTCAACTCCCTGGCACCGACTTTTCATGTATGTCCTGAGTGCGCCCATTCCTCACCAAGTTTTTGCGCATGGCCCTGCCACCAATACAGCATACACAACCAGCACAACATACACCACCAATACAGCACACACACCACAGCACAACACACACCACAGCACGACACACATCACCAATACAGCATACACCACAGCATGACACACACCACCAATAAATAACACACACCACAGCATGACACACACCACAGCACAACACACACCACAGCACAACACACATCACCAATACAACATACACCACAGCACGACACACACCACCAATAAATAACACACGCCACAGCATGACACACACCACAGCACAACATACACCACAGCACGACACACACCACCAATACAGCACACACCACCAGCACACACAGAACCAACACAAAGGGCCACCACCAGCACCACTACCAGCACCTGCAGCAGCAGCAGCAGCAGCAGTAGCAGCAGCAGCCTAGGCACACAGTTCAGAACTGACATACCCCAGATGGCTGCTGCCAGGATGCTGGCGAGAAAGTGCAGGTGATGAGTTCGCAGCATCACTAGGAGGCCGTGATGCACTGCCCGTAGTGCAGCCTTCTCCTGTCCTGCTACTGCTGCGACTAGTAGTGTTGAAAGTGAAGAATGTACGCATGTCAGCTGAGGAGGCTGGCTTTTCACTGTAGTCATGAATCACCTGCATACAAATCAACACGCACGTGCACACACACACACACGTGCACACACACACACACACGTGCACACACACACACACACCCACGCACGTCCACACACACACGTGCACACACACACACACACACACACACACACACACACACACACACATGCAAAGTCACATGCAAAGTCACATGCAAAGTCACATGTTCACTTGTACTTCTGTGAAGGCCAATGGATGGGTTGCACTTGAATCTCCAGTGTACATCCATCATTAGTGCTGAAGGATCATTAAAGAAAGTCAATAAATATCTGACCGCTAGCACAATGGCATACCATGTGCATTATCGCATATCACAACTCATACAACCACACTCCTTTCAATACACATACGGCTCAGTGGATTATCAGGCTAAACAGTTTTAACTCAAAAGTTTCATACTCCATTCATGCTCCATTCACTACAAGTCATGTCCTTACAGCAGTGTGACCCCCTTATGCTCCAGTCAGTACAACACTTGCTCACACAGCTCTCACACACATTGCCTTCTTCTTACCCTAGCGCAGTAAGTGCAAACGCGCAGAGCACCAAGCGTGGCATTAAGGCCCATATGCTGTGCAGGGATAGCTTCACTACAGCAACGCCAACAGAAGATCTGACCGCATACACGACAGTGATGGCGACGTCGGAATGTGTGAAACTGGGCGCCACATTCATAACATGACTTGCAATGCTCATCAGGCATCCAGTACTGTTTGAGATCGGTGTCACGCCATCTTTGGGCCTGCTACAATTCGTTGAGAACAACAAGAAACCAGAATACACAATGCAAGCTCGGGGCCCATCGCAACAATCAGAAACAACCAGTGCAATCATGCAAACACTGGCAAGAAACTCTAGCACTGCACCCTCTAGTACTGCACCCCTGCCAGTCCTGGGGGAAAGGCCCGCTCTCCTTCTGGGCATCTAAGTTATTGGTATTTTGGTATTCATTGGTATTTGGTATTAAACAAGCCTGAACGACGATCGCAAGGCACATAACGAAAAGGAAACACGCATGTTGTTAGCTACTGAAACTGTCCCCCGCTGAATACATGCAGTATAAGGCCGCACCGAATAAGTCCTTGGTTTCGGGTAACATGGCCAGAAAAATAAGGGTTGGTCGGTCGCCTTTCTTTTTATTGCTGATAATTGTTATGCATGCCAGACCGGTATGCACATTTCAGTACACATCCCAGATAGAAAATGTGTGGTGAATAAATCAGGCATACTGTAGTATTAAAGAGTATAAAAGCCTGTGTGACAGTACTGAAAACAGAATGGATAGCATCAAACAAATTGCCTTAGCAAGCTGGCTTGCGCATTGCTACGAAACGGAATGGGAATGTAAATTGGGAAAGTGGTTCAAATCCTAGTGTACTTACTGATCCGTCCGCAGCTGGTGTTCCTTCCAGAATGGAACCAAGACGTTTGAGAACAGTATAAAGAGATCGATCTGTGGCGGCGGCGGCAGCCACACTGGCTGAAGAAGCACTAGCTGCACTAGCAGCACTAGCGCCAGTAGTACTAGTAGAAGCAGCAGTGGCGGCAGCAGCAACAACAGCAGAAGCAGCAGTAACAGTAGCAGTAGCAGTAGCAGTGTCTGTCTCACTCACTACCACTACTGGTGATTCCTTCCGCGATGCTGTTCTAGATGACGAAGACATAGTGGATATGCCAGAAAGTGCCTGTGTCTGTGCTTGTGTCTTCCCGGCAGTAGTAGCAGCAGCAGCTGCATTAGAATCGCAACCTAAACAGAAGGAAGAAGAAAGGGAGTGAAAGTACAACTAAAGAAGCAGTTGCACAAAACACTTGATCAATAATGGGAAACACGCATATTGAATGTCTAGAGAAAAGACTCACTATGATTAGACTCAGCTTGGTTTGCTTGCTCCATGCTCCTGCCCCTTGTACAGCCAAAAATCCCATGTACTCATCAACCTTGCTTACCCCCCCCCCCCCCCCCCCCCCCGACAACTGGGGACAACACTGTTGTCCCCAGCGTTCATTCAGCACCTTCATGAGCGACACTGACTCACTGCACGGTACAGTACTACCTGATCAAAACATATACAAAAAAAGAGGGATAGAAAATAAACTGTACCTTCGAAAACAAGAGAAGCAGGAACAGCTGACACAGTGGTAGAGGGAACAGCAGATGCTTCAGGTGTATCAACATTAGCTTGGTCAGCAACAGTGCTCGAATTCTCACATGACTCCCGTGAGGCAGAGCGCGACTCGAGCATCATGAATGTCCTCACTGTGGAACGTAAGTTACGACTTGCCGCATCTACAACATGGGTGTCAGGCATACATGTAGAGGAGACGACGGTTTCAAATAGGAAATAGGTTGCAAACCGGAAAGGGATCCATATTCGCTTTCTCTCTTGGTATTTTGATTAGAAAACATGTGTCACAGTGAGACTACGATGTGTTTTACTCAGAGCCAACATGTCATGGCTCTGCGATGACCAGAAGCGCCATACCAAGCAGGTGAATTTTCGACATGTTGCTTCGCACTACGACTTGAGTTTTTTAGTCTTTCGAAAAATCAACTTCTTGTCGCAGGTAAACAGCGGCTCGCCTCTCGCCAATAAAGCACCGTATACCAATGAAAACTAATGGAAGCACACACAAGGCTTATTGTTGCTCTGTACTGGCCGTCGTGGAGCGATAGCAATCACCTAATTTCAGAACCCAGAGTGAACTTGACGTGCACTCCAAAATCTTTCCGGTTTGGAGCCACCTCTGTGACACCAAAATTAGAGGGCAACTTGGAGGCAACGGGCCAACACAAAGGAGTGGCTCAGTTCGATTGACTCTGGCCTCAGAGCAAACTTCAACATGCCAGTTTCCTTCCACAAACATATTTCGAGTAACAATCCACGCTGATGATCGGTTCGGGTCTACACAATTTTGCTGTCAAACCGTTCCTATCTGAAACCGTCCCCTCTACAACATGGGTGTGAGGCCTACATGTACAACCAATTATACAAACGCACACGCGCGCACGCGCACACACGCGTGCATGCACACACGTGTGCACGTACGCACACATGCACGCACACATGCACACACTACTACTACTACTACTACTATTGACAGCTGCCAGAAATGGCCACGCCGCTCCCCAAAGGGAGGTACTGTCAGAGAGGTTAGGGGAGAGGTAGGCAGTGCTTCAAATGGCGCTCCAGGTCCTGTCGCCTCCGAAACTGGCGTTGACTACAGACTCGGCAATGATGTTCAAAGTGCTGGCGATCAGTCACACACACACACACACATGCACACACGCGCGCGCGCGTGCACACACACACACACGGGCGCGCACACGCAAGTACTTAGTTGTACTTGCTCATCGCCAAAACTGGTCACGTGGGTTTACCCAGGAGAGGAGAGAGAGAGATTCAAAGGAATCTTGGAAAAATGACTCAATTGGCTATTGAACCGCCCAACAGCTGACACCCCCTGAAATCCCCAAACTAAAGGGGGGACTTGGAAATGATCCCACTTATGGGCTCACGACACTTCAGTAAGTGTGAGAGGACAAGGTGCAGAAAAATGATTGACGGCATTAGGGTATCCGTTCCGGGATCCAACTGCAGTTACCCTGCCCCCAGTGAAGGTAATATTTGCTACTAGTGTGGGTGGCTAAATCAGGGTGGATCTGATATAAGCTTCACTAGCACCATTGACTACACATGAGTTGATCTAGACAGAAGCAGTCCATGGTTAACCCTTTCCGGCTTTATGACGAGTATACTCGTCATGCAGACCCCATCGCGTCTGGGCAATGACGAGTATACTCGCGCTATACTTTTCGTACAGTGCACATACCATACGCATTGGATAGATCACTGCATAAACAGCCATAACTCTGGAACAGAATATCGCATCGTCCTGATCAACAGCTCATTGGAACGGTCTTGGACAGTGCTTTTCAGAGGTGTTTTCGGTGTGGCGATAGCTCAACAAATGATCAAGCGGCCATAAATTAAAAGCGCGATTTCGATTTGAACATTTTCTTATTTTCTGTCCGGAGATTTCCCAACGACGTGTCGAAGGAAACATGACGTATGAGTAAATCGTTGGAGTCGCTTGAATCTCAAAAGTTCTGTGTGGTTTGAATCGTAGTTCTACGTTGAGTATGAGCCCCCAACTAAAGGAAAGTGTTATGCGTGGTCTTGATGCCAAACTGGACCACGATAGGGACACTGTTGGCGAGGCTAGGGGCGTCCTTGAGGTGCTGTATGCTCTGAAAGCACGTGGAAGATGTCGAGCAGGAAAAGAGCTTTCCAGTAAGCTATAAATGGTGAAATCCGTTGAGAAACAAAAATGTGAAACTCGGATGTTGAGCCATAAATAAATGTAGAAGAGAAAAGGACATAGGATACGAGTTAAGAGTAACTCTCCATCACTGTAACATGATACTATATACAGTCAGAAAGTGCAATAACTAGGCACAAAACTGACAGTGTACTGAGACATTCGACGTCCTGACACCTAGCTTCAACACATCTCCGTAGCGCTAGCCGACAGCCTTCCAACTTGGAAGGTTCAAGGTTATGGAAAGACCATCCCCAGGCCCTTCCCCTCTTTGGTCTTTCCATAACCTTGAACCTTCCAAGTTGGAAGGCTGTCGGTTAGCGCTACGGAGATGTGTTGAAGCTAGGTGTCAGGACGTCGAATGTCTCAGTACACTGTCAGTTTTGTGCCTAGTTATTGCACTTTCTGACTGTATATAGTATCATGTTACAGTGATGGAGAGTTACTCTTAACTCGTATCCATATGTCCTTTTCTCTTCTAAACAAAAATGTTGTGACAATTTGTTTGTTGCTATCTCCACAATTGTACTGATGCACTAAATCACAGTGCCCAGACTCAGTATACAACAATACACCTTCGAGCAGCCGAGACCGTTGGCAACAGACCCAACACTATCTGGCATAAGTGCACCCATCAACCGAACTCGAGAACTCGAGAACTCGAGAACTCGAGAACTCGAGATCGAGAGAGAGAGAGAGAGAGAGAGAGAGAGAGAGAGAGAGAGAGAGAGAGAGAGAGAGAGAGAGAGAGAGAGAGAGAGAGAGAGAGAGAGAGAGAGAGAGAGAGAGGGCGAGAGACAGAGAGAGAGAGAGAGAGAGAGAGAGAGAGAGAGAGAGAGAGAGAGAGGAGGGAGGGAGAGAGAGAGAGAGAGAGAGAGAGAGAGAGAGAGAGAGAGAGAGGAGGGAGGGAGGGAGGGAGGGAGGGAGGGAGGGAGGGAGGGGGGAGGGAGGGAGGGAGGGAGGGGGAGGGAGGGAGGGAGGGAGGGAGGGAGGGAGAGGCGAGAGAGGGAGGGAGGGAGAGAGGGAGGGAGAGCGAGAGAGGGAGGGAGGAGAGAGGGAGGGAGAGAGAGAGAGAGAGAGAGAGAGAGAGAGAGAGAGAGAGAGAGAGAGAGAGAGAGAGAGAGAGAGAGAGAGAGAGAGATAGAGAGAGAGAGAGAGACTGACCTTCAACAGATACAGTTGCAGATTGGGACGAATCAGATTTCAATAGAGCAGTGTTAGGGGGCTGGCCTGCAACACTTCTTTTGCCACTAGTGTCTTGTCGACGAAGACGAAGACTGGTGCCAAACACTTCCTCAGTTGTTTTCTGCTGTTCCGGATGATCTATGAACAATAATCAGAAGAAGCAATTCAGATATTCTGGATATGTCTGGCTAAAATACAAAAACCTCTTCTTGATCAACAGAATAGGCAAGTTAGACAGGTGTCTAGAATCCTCAGACTGCGTGTAGTCCTCAATGGACAGAGCCAACAGTTGCTGCGCGAGTACTGAATACAGTCACTGCAAGTTAACTCAGTTCTCCACAGTCACTGGTGTCACTGCAAGTTAAAGGGGAAGTTAAGGCAAAATTAAAATTTCACCAGTTGTAGTCTTCGGGGTGCTGAGTCGAATGGTCTTTGTCCGAGAAAGCTGAGACGCTCCCTTCCTACTTGAATCCCAATCGAACTCGCGCACTTCCACCGAAACTGGGTGACTGCGCCCTACTAGATGGGGATTTGTATGCAAAATGTCACTAAAAGCGCCATTTCGTTCTTATAAAAGCACGGATGACCGCGATTGGCCCATATGTTGTACTCTTTTGGACGCTGAGTCGACTGGTTTTGGTCCAAAAAGGCTGCAGCGTTCCTCCTTTATTCCCAATCGAACATGGTTGAACAAGTGGTCACGTGCTCCTGGGTGCCCAAATCACCTGGTCACCACGCCAGCAGGCGACAACTTTCACACCAAGGTTCAACTCGAGTTCAACTCGAGTGACAGGACTGCACCCAAAAAAGGTCAAACAGGCTAGTAAGTTGTACCCTGCAGGCACGGTGACCAGGTGACTGGTGTATGCAGGAGCACGTGACCGCTTCTTCTACCATGTTCGATTGGGAATAAAGGAGGAACGCTGCATCGCAGCCTTTTCGGACCAAAACCAATCGACTCAGCGTCCAAAAGACTACAACATATGGGCCAATCGCGGTCATCCGTGCTTTTATAAGAACGAAATGGCGCTTTTAGTGACATTTTCCATACAAATCCCCATCTAGTAGGGCGCAGTCACCCAGTTTCGGTGGAAGTGCGCGAGTTCGATTGGGATTCAAGTAGGAAGGGAGCGTCTCAGCTTCCTCGGACCAAGACCATTCGACTCAGCACCCCGAAGACTACAACTGGTGAAATTTTAATTTTTGCCTTAACTTCCCCTCTAAGTACTCAGTTCTACAGTCACTGGTGTCACTGCAAGTTATGTACACGTGTACCGTATTTCCTTGAACACCCACCAACTCTTGATTACCAGCCGCCCTTGAGTAAGCGCCGCCAGTTTCTTTGAACTGAGGGTTATTTATACACAAGTGCAAAGCAGTACAATTTATACACAATTTCACAGCTACGAGATGACCTTCAGCTACGATGTCCTGCTCCTTCACATGCAGCTAGTGCTGCTCTCACGCCAGACAAAAGGACTCAAAGTCAAAGGCGATCTAAAGAAGGGAATAAATCGAGCACGCCATGATGATGACCTCTCATAACATAACGAAAAGCAAGACGAGTTATCTTATCGACCACCGAAAAAGACAATATTGCGCGAACAAAGTAAACGAATAAAACGTAAGACACACTAATGGGGGATTCACACTCACGGGGAAACCTGAGGTCACGGGACAAGGTAAAAGTTCAGACCTTTGGTAAACGGAGTGGGGTCGTTCACACCCGTGGTCAGTTTTCCCTTGGCCGCATGTTTGGCAATGAATTTGTGGCGGGGGAATTAAAAAATCTGTACTACGTTTTGTAGTACATTCTGTACTATGATTTGCATTCGCCATGCACAATTTTCCAATGGGCACTGTCTGATAATGCAGGCTGCGTTGCACTCGTACAACTAGGGTTGAGAGTTCTCGCCATGGGATTTTCCCTTAACACCCTGAGGCCCACAGCCACGGCTTTGCCATTTTCCCGAGGGGTTCTTCCTTTCCCCCAGTACCATGGTTTCCATAACAACTTTCCCACAACCATGGTTTTACCCGTGTGTGTGTGTGTGTGTGTGTGTGTGTGTGTGTGTGTGTGTGTGTGTGTGTGTGTGTGTGCATGTGTGTGAATCCCCTATAAGGTGTGTCAAATCTACAACCAAGAACTCAGATCAGACAACTTGTCTAGGAGAAAGCGGACACTGACGCCGTGAAAGGAACAAACGCAGAAAGAGAAATAAAGTGGCGGAGAACAAAAGAGTCCTTTTATTGCATCCAAAATTTTCAGCGTCGACGTCTTCTTGAAGCTCCTCCGCTTCATCCCCGTTGCCACGACGGACTGCTGCTGCTGCTGGACACGTAACTAACTTGCTAGTCGAGCCTCGAGCTCCTTCGCCATGATATTCTTTCCTATTCAACACGAAAAGAAATGAAGATGCACTAGCCTACAGTGTATCTAGTCAGGGCAGCACCCGTTTTGCTAGTTTTGAATACAGGCAGCGGCGGTGGCTATTCAAGGAAATACGGTACTCAGCTCTCTACAGTCAGCGTCAGTCAGTGTCAGTCAGTGTCGCTTCATCAATTCATACTGACAGCCTTACCGAACACTGCACCGCGATATTCCATCTTTAGATCAGCATCAAGCGCTGTGGAGCTGACATTGACGGCATAGGAGGCACCTCGCACTTCATACACACCAGAGGACACAGAACCACATACAATCCACATACAAAAGCAATGATTCAATTCAAACAGAAGTCCATTCTCTGATATCAGTGAGATTAGAAAGCTGGACCTCTGGTGTCAGCAGTAAAGGAAATTTATGGACTGGCCAGTGCAATGGGAAATAGCTGGACTGGGCAGTACAACTGAGTAACAACTATTTACCTAGTAATACATCTGATATACTTGCTAATACTTCATACTTGCTAATACAGTCGTCCCTCTCTAATCCGGCACCTTTTGCAACGGCATTTTCTGCTGGATAAACAAGGGCGCTGGATTATAAAATCCTGCCCACCTGTTAGCATACATGTTTGTGTCGTACATCAAAATGTAGGGATTTTCTGTGTCGATCCAAGTACTTTGTGGAATACAATGTCTTTAACATACACTTGGTAATATCCCTTGCACTGGTATAGGATATTCCCAAGTGTATGTTACATGTATTGTGTATGTTACAATGCTTCCTGACAGTGTGCGATGTACAACTGCTGGATTAGAAAATCGAATTATGTCCAGTTTGAGTGATTTGTTGCAGGAAATCGCTGCTGGAGGCGGAATTCAAGTGCCGGATTAAAGCGTAGAAAATTAACTGAAAAAATCCGTTTTGCCAGAAAGTGTGCTGGTTTGCAAGGGTGCTGGATAAACAAGTGCCGGATTAGAGAGGGACGACTGTACTTGATACTTCCTCCGCATCATTACAACTGTCGCTTCGTGCATTGCCATGTTTGTGACTCGCTTGTCTTTGTCGGATTGTGGGAGTAGTCTTTTTTCTATGTTCTGACATTGGTCCGACTTTTCCTACGCAATGTCTACTTGTTATACAAGCCATGACAGTCTCCGAGCTCTCTTCGACAACACACTAATTCAACCCTTTCCGCGCTATTCCGTCCCAGAACGGCTAATCTTTTTCCGGGGTTCATGACGACCCACATTGTGCGAGTGGGCATCTGTCAAGACTGAAAGCTCAGGTATAAGAATCCTGGTATCTCTCCTGAACTTCAAAACTATGCATTCAGAAAGAACATGTCATGTTCTTTGAAGTGCCCATAGAAACATGCGCAAAAAGTGAAAAATCACATGTACGTTGAAAGCAATCCTGGAGCCGCTTTGAAGGCAACTTTGAAAGCGGATTATAGCATTTTGTTTCCAGGCAAGTTTGAAACAAGTGGTAGGTGTGCCATCTGCGAACGGTACGTGAAGCTAGCCTGGCGCAAAAATTCAAATTCGTCGCGCCTCACCGGCTGCACCATGGATATCTGGTCATGTGGGTCACTTTTTACGTGCATGACATGCAACTGCATTTCCTGTGTGAATGCATACTCGTTGCAAGTGGCGTGTACGAGGATTTCCACGGGAGTTTTTTTTTTGTACTGTGCGTCTTAGGGCATGTTCGATTGTACGAATCCATCAGCCCCAGACCCGGATTCGCCAAATTCGTACATGTTCGATTGTACGAATCCGGATCCCGAGAGCACGGATTCGGATCCAGTCAACCCACCTCCCAGAGACGGATTCGACGGATTCATTTCCATGGTACGACTCGTATCTACTCAAAATAGCACATTAGAGCTTGCGGTAATGTAGGTTAACACATTGCACAAGCCACCACTTCACACGCGCTCCAGCGGCTTCCAAAGAGCCCGCAGATCCCACGCTATTCATTGATGCATGTCAAGTAACACGTACATGCATGCTGTGGTGGCATGTAACATGCGTACGCCGGAACTCACCTGAACTCGCCAGCCAACCAGCCATATGCGGCTGCAGCACACATCGGAGCTTGAACCCGTAACGCATACACCATACTTCGCGCTGGCCACATTGCTACTTCATATTTGCTTTGCTTGGGTAGTGAGAAGAACACCGGTTTGTTCCTTTCTCTCTCTTTCACCATGCCACGAGGCTCTGTACGAGGAAGCAGACGTGGACGCGGACGCGGGTATGCCGTCGAGGTTCCCCGTCGCCGCTCGGGTAGGGCTTCGACCTCGCCATACGCGCGGACTGACGGCATGCGCGCCTTCGCGCCTGATGCCTCCGACACACCGTCAGCAGCTAGTTCAGACTTCTGACCCCGCTCCAGGCACCGAAGCTTCTATGCAGGACGACAGGACGAGCCCTCATTGCTCTCCCCGGACATCATTTCCTCAGCCGTGATGAAGATGAACGCCCTCCACCCTCTCCTCGAGCGCGTGGAACGCCTGGAGAACAGTGCTGAGTCTGGAAGCCGATCTCTCCCACGCGCGCGCTCCGCACCTGAAAGATCGCTCCCACGCTCGGAGCGTCAAGCTCCGGACCTATCCTGCCCGGAACTTCCAGTTCTATCGGAACCTCCGACTTTGCCAGGACCTCCAGTTCTCTCCGAGCCCTAGGTTCTACCCACACCGCCACGTCGTGCGATTGAAAAAATCCAGCGCGGAGAGTTTGTGGAACTTGAGGAACTCTTGCCGGAAAACTTCAGCTCTCAGGGACAGGAGCCAATACAACTGGTTACATCTGGCGGCGACATGGCTCAGCTCTCGCTCAACCTCAGCGCAAAGCACACGCGCGCGATCAACGACTTCTCGGCTTGGCTGGAGGCCTGGACGATCTACATGGGCATCGTCGTTCGTGCTCGTCCTGACCGAGCTCATGAGCTCGTCTGCTACCAGCACATACTTTGTACTGCGAACCAACAGTTCACGACGTCTGCTGTGCTGAACGATGATCGAGCATTTCGCCAACACACCGCCAGCATGGCACTGCGCTGGGACGTGATCAATCAGACGCTGTGGAGTATTCACCTGCTCCGCTCTCCCCGTCCGTCATGCACCAAATGCACGCTCCAACACAGCCGCGACCGCTGTCCACATGCCGCAGCTCAACACGCGCAGCCCTTTCCATCAGTGGCGGGCAGCACACACCAAGTCTGTTTTAACTTCAACCGCGGCAGGCCCTGCTCCCGCACACCCTGCGACCGTCTCTACGCCTGCAGCTCCTGGGAAGACAAAGGACATGCCGCCACATCCTGCACCAGCACCACCCGCTTCAGGTGGCAGCACCCTGCAGATAGCCACGAGAAGACTTCGAAGCCCACTGAGAAAAAGTAAGCCGACTTCCACTCCCCTGAACACTGTTCGCTTTCACACATTACTGCCTTCCTCGGAATTGTGCTGGACACGGTGCGCACGGAAGCCCGTCTCCCAGACGACAAACTGGCAGACCTCCGCGACCTCCTCAGCGAGCTGTCACGCTGCACCCAGACCACGCAATGCAAACTCGATCACTTCCTGGGGAAACTCTCCTTTGCGCCGAGCGTCGTCGTACCAGGCAGAACATTTACGCGGCGCTTATGGGATATCAACAAGAGGTTTAGCCGCGCCAAGCCCTATTTCCGTATCACTCTGACAGGCGAGGCCAGGAAAGACATCCGCTGGTGGCAGCTTCTGATCCAGCACTGGAACGGGAAGGCATTCCTCCTCTATAACAGCAGTACATCGTCGGCCGACCTTGGACTGTACACAGACGCTAGCGGCACTCTCGGCTGGGGCGCATTCTACGGCAAGGAGCAGCACTGGATCCAGGGCAGTTGGACAAAGGAGCAAGAAGAAGAGAGTATCGGATACAAAGAGCTCTATGCCGTGGCAATGGCTTGCAGTACTTGGGGCCATCTGTGGTCCCAGCAACGTATTGTAATGCATTGCGACAATCAGTCCGTTGTCGAATGCCTGCAGTCAAGCTCCAGCAAGTCACCAGGCATGATGTCACTGCTGCGTGCATTGTTCTTCGTTTGTGCAACTCACAGCTTCACCATTACTTCCAAATATGTACCTGGGCATCTGAATTCGATCGCCGATGCTCTGTCTCGTTTCAACCTGCAGGCATTCCAGCAGCTGGCACCATCGGCACAGCAAGCCCCGGACACTGCAATCCGCCTCCCTCTCCTGGACTGATGCGGGAGGTCGCCGACCTGGCAGCCATGGCAATCGCCCCGACAACACGGCGCACGTACCCCACTGGCGAAAGGAAATTTACGCAATTCTGTGCGTTGCAGAGATGGACGCCCATGCCGGCTACAGACACGATGCTCAGCTGCTTCGCAGCACACCTCACACAATCGGTTCAACCACAGACAATTCATGTCTACATGGCCGCAGTACGCAACATGCATCTCGAAGCCGGATTCCGAGATCCAACGATCAACACATTGCTGCTGCCACGGGTTATGCGAGGCATCAAGAGGACGGCGCCTGACCCGGCAATCCAGTGCACTCGCCTCCCAATCACCATTGATTTGCTGCGGAAGCTCCTCAACCAACTCAGCCTGGACCAACGGCGTCACCAGCAGGACAAGTGCATACTCAAGGCGGCAATGGTGCTCGCCTTCTTCGGATTTCTCCGATGCGCTGAATTCACTGCGCCTCCAGCCGGGTTTGACCCTGCCACTCATGCCACGCGCCAGGATGTGACTCTGGATGTCACTCAATGACGCACATATATCCGCTTCCACATCAAGCAATCGAAGACGGACCAATTTCGTCAGGGCCATGCAGTGATAATCGGTAGTGCCACTTCACAACCTTGCCCGGTTGCCGCCCTCCTGGCATATTTTACAGTCTGTCCGTCTGACGCCGCTGACGCACTCTTCCGCTACCGCTCTGGGAGACTGCTGACCAGGCAGGCACTGACAGAAGAGCTCCGACAGCTTCTCCCACTCACGGGAACACCCAATTCACGCGATTACGCTGGTCATTCGTTCCGCATCGGTGCCGCCACAACTGCAGCCATGGCGGGTACCCCTGACTGGCTAATCAGGGCAATGGGCCGATGGAGAAGCGACAGTGTCTTGCGCTACATCAGGACAACCGACACAGACATGGCGCAGCTGACCCAAAAGCTGTCAGAGGTACAAGCGCATCACAGAACGCATGGAGGTATGTAAGAACCCGCCACGCGGGCACGCAACTCGCACCCATGCACGTACCCACACGGCTGACCATTTGGAACAGCACAGCAACTTGCTCTGCTTGGATTGTGCTGACAAACTGCGCTGATAGCAACAACAGTGTCATTCATGTGCATAGTAATGTGTCACAACTTAGCATGGAGGCTGGGCAACCATGGGCCAGCTATCTCCTCTCATCTGGCAATTATCACGGCCTTCGGCCATCACACTCATACTCCCACACTCCTGCCTCCTAACGGGCATTGCACTTTGTGCGTGGGCCGTCCACACTCCGTCCATTTCATGGGCGCCCATCTCATGGGCTGCACTTTGTGCGTGGACATACATACACACTATCATACAGGCCGTCCACACTCCGCCCAGTTCATGGGTGCCCATTTCATGGGCTGCACCTCGTGCGTGGACTATCCTACATGATTATCACATGCCAGATTCGGTTGCCCAGCACTCCATGAATCCTCCATAATTATGATGTGTGCTCTCCACTGGTCTGCAATAGCGAGTGCATGCGTGTTAATAGCACATTAGAGCTTGCGGTAATGTAGGTTAACACATTGCACAAGCCACCACTTCACACGCGCTCCAGCGGCTTCCAAAGAGCCCGCAGATCCCACGCTATTCATTGATGCATGTCAAGTAACACGTACATGCATGCTGTGGTGGCATGTAACATGCGTACGCCGGAACTCACCTGAACTCGCCAGCCAACCAGCCATATGCAGCTGCAGCACACATCGGAGCTTGAACCCGTAACGCATACACCATACTTCGCGCTGGCCACATTGCTACTTCATATTTGCTTTGCTTGGGTAGTGAGAAGAACACCGGTTTGTTCCTTTCTCATGGTACGACTCGTATCTACTCAAAACTCCCATTATGCGTACACTAGGTCAAGAGTTTACCACAACGCGTACAGATACTACGGGATGAGCTGTAGCAACGCGGTTGCTAAGGCCTTGAAACGGATTATCGGTTGTGCACATTCGATTGTATCCGTCCGATCGAAGCGATCTGGTCTGATCTGGTCGGCGGGGATCGGGATCCAGTTTCTACACTTTTTTCTTCTTTTTTTTTACGTCACAATGTAATTAATTACAAAGCACGAAGTGTAAAAACAGCACCTCTACACTCACCTTTGATGTTTACTTTCAAACGCTCACTTTTTCACCCACAGCAAGTCACGAGACACTATCAACACCCTGACATAGATACTGTAAGTCGACAAATATTCGGCGCATATTTATTTTCGGCTACTTTCGGCCTGGTTATGTTTGGCCGAAAATTTGTTGCGGCCGAAATTTTGTTTTGCAACGTTCAGTGTAGTGTGACAGTGTATGCAGGCGGCAGAAGTACAGGCCGAAGATTTGATGCGGCCGAAATGGGTTTTAGCCCTGGGAGGCCGAAAATGTGTAGACTTACAGTAATATACCATAATAAGTCACCAACTTACTAGACTCGACTGAAACGTTTCGTGTTGCTGCTTCAGCAGTGCCTCTTGATCCTCCGGTACTTGCAGGACTACTACCGCTAAGAACTAATGGAGCGTGTGTAGAGGTAATGTTCATCTTTCCTGCTGCTCCTGCTGTTGGTGCGGCTGTAGTGCTGCCGGAATGGCGCGAAGGCATGCTTGTTGCCCCTGCTGTTGCTCCTGCTGCTGTTGTTGTTGTTGTTGCTGTTGTTTGGTTGTGTACAAAAGGAACTGCAACGGGTGGATTGGCTGGTACATCTAGAAAGCACATGCACAAACAAGTACAATCAGTACACACAGCTGCCGCTCACAAGCTCCATGTACAGAATAACCTGTCAATGCATTATCATTCCTGGGCGCATGACCTTTGATAAGGGCATCATCTCTACACACAAACCAACTTTCATAGCGTATGTGGGGGTGCAAGTGTACAAAACGGCTGCATTCTCAGTGTGAACTGTGGGGTGGGGGGGGGGGGGGGGGCGAGGCGAACCCGACTTCACCCCAGGCTTCATGAGCCCTCTGTCAAGCTGTGTTCACAACTGCCGCGTGTACGCGTGAAACCACGCATTTGTGCTTATTTTTGCTGCCTTTTGGGGCGTCATGTATGGAAACGCGCTGAAATGGAAATTCCTACATGTATTTTTCAGCGCGTGTCAGGCACGTACTGGCGTACATGCAAGTCACTTTGACAGATGGGGTCAAAAAAATCAGTACTCAACGTCGCACGCCCTACAGTCCATTCATAAAAAGTTGGGTCCTGGCTCTGGCGAGCTCCCGTATTTGGCGATTTTTCGTGATTTCATCGTACACAGTGCAGTGCTGCGAACTTTGAAATTTGAAAAAGGGTCCAAAAAGGGTGCCTGAACTGGGGTTCGAACCGCAGAATGCACTGTTGCAGGCGGGGTCAAACGGCCTGGATTTTGATGGTTTTTCCCAATTCAGTGCTTTTGGGGCAAAACCTGGCCGAAATCCTATTCTTGCTATGGCTTGCTTTTTGGACAAAAAAACTTCAGAAACATAATTGGAAGAGGATTCCATATGGGATTGCAGAAAAAAATTCTAAAAAAACTCAACGTTTGACCCATTTATGGCCAAAAGCTAGAAGTTCATTTTTTTCTGAATGGACTGTAAATACGACTCGAATTGCTGTTTTTTGTGAAAACGTGAGCGGGCGTTTGGCCACGCATGAACCGCAAGCATACTGCGTCCACACGCCAGTTGTGAACACAGCTTAAGTTACTATCGGCTGCATTTTCGTTGAGTTGCCTGGAAAAAACAAACACAAAAATTGACAAATGAGAGGGGAATGGACTCGGATGGAGAGCCGAGGATAAATTTACAGAAAAGAAAGGACCAAGGGACTACAAGTTACGCTGCACAACATGTAATATCCACAACACCACCAGTTACTTTACAATCAGCTCATGCGATAACATTGCACGACACTGACCAACGGCACTTACATTGAGTTTTTAGCACTTTAATCATTTCTCACCTATGTTGAAGTGTTGTCCTTTTTCTCTCTTTTTTACAAACTCTATAATATCGAAAAGAAAAAGGACCAAGGAACTACAAGTTACGCTATAATGTCCACTAACACCACCAGTTACTAAACAATCTGCTCATGCGATAACATTGCTGATTGTTTAGTAACTGGTGGTGTTTGCGGATATTATAGCGTAACTTGTAGTTCCTTGGTCCTTTTTCTTTTCTATAAATGTATCCTTGGCTCTCCATCCGAGTCCATTCTATAATATCGTTATGTGTTTTTCCAAATTTCCAACATTCCCTGTACTATCCTGAAGAGAAGGGAAAGAAAACGTTTGATAGGTGAAAGGAAGTGTCTACTTGATTGTGTGAATTTGCGTCTTTGCATGCAAAGGTATAGATTGCGAAAATACAGTAGAGCATTGACTATCCACACATTCGGTTATCCGAAATGGATGGGACCCCTAAAAAGAAAAAAAGATGCAGGACTCAAGGCATGAGTCAGGGAGTCGTGAAATAGGGTATTTTGACGACTCCCTGACTCTCGGTCACCAGTGCAGTTGTCTAGTTGTCTACACAGTACAGTAGTGTGTAGATCTACCAGTTGTACATGTTGTACAATCATGTGCACTGCTAACATGCCTGCCGTCAATGCATGCTAGAACTATACAGTTGAAGTTAATTATCTTGTACGCATTTTTCGATGATGAAGCCATTAAGCCTGGTTCACATTCGACGGGGCACGACGGGAAGGCTGGGGTGAGCTGTAAGAATCTGGTACGATTCGTACGACACAACATGAAGTAGCTGTTGCAATGGTCAACGTTGAGCGCCGCGAGTCATTAGGCACGGCCGGAGACGGGTTGATTCTGATGTGCGCTCCTACGTGATTTTTATACCATTTGTTCACTGATTGTGTCTTTGGGGAAAAAGAACTGATCCTCTCAATACGTAAGGGGCCGTCCGCAAATATCGAACTTTTTTCACCAAACGAATTATTTTAGTTTAGACCCAACCCCTCCCTCCCTCCCCCTCAGAACGTAAAAATTGTTGACATATACAACAAAACCCGCAAGTGTGTAACTGCTCCTATGGCTATGTACATGTATCAATGTTTTCTGAAACGAAATTGGTCAACCCCCTCCCACCCCATAACGAAATCATTTCGTTTCGTGAAAAAAGTTCGATAATTGTGGACGACCCCTAATCTCTTGTTTTTAGGGACTTCTTTTTAATTATTTCTCCTCAAAGAAAGCGGAGTCACGCTCCCAATACCAGCCTGTCATGAAGACCAAAAAAAGTAGCCACAGACGTTGTGCCATTCTAAAAAATAGCCACAGCAAAAGATGAAAGAGTTCATCTATCACATTCCAGGATTATCCCTAAATACAGCAATTGACATGAAATATTAGCTTTCTAAATTCAACTCAGTCGTGTGAGCCATTGGGTGAGTTATCATGAGAAGCACAGTGTTTGAAATGCTAAAATTTGCCCAGTTGCAGTTGCGCGCGTCGGGAGTAGTCAGTGCACGATGCCGTCACCTGTTCACATTCAAAATGCAGCCGTTGTGTATGCTTGCAGCCCCGCATACGGTATGAAAGTTGAACAGATTCAACTTTTCCATCGCTCCCCGGCCTGTACGGTAGTAGGGTTGCGTTCCAATCCCTGGTGTTGACATAGGACACCGTCAATCGGCGTCAGGAGCGTCCTGTCGGCTCCTGTCGCTCCTTACATCGCGCCCCGTCAAACGTGAACTAGGCTTTACCCATGACCTTCATTGCACAGTCATGTACTTCAGTGCACATGTACTCTCTCATGATCCGAATTTTTTAAATTATCATTATCCGAACATTTCCCTTATTCAAACCCCTTCGGAACGGCGTCTGCCCAGAAGGGTTCGGATAATCGATGCTCTACTGCAAACAGCTGAGAGCAAAAGCACTAGGTATCACCAGTCAGTCACACTCGCTATTCTCGCATCACACATTTGCTACATAGACATAACTTGCTACTTGTTAATACTGGCAATATTATTCCAATATGAATCAAAATTTCCCTACCATTTCCAACGAGACCTCGAAGTAGTCGGTTAAATGAAAAGGAAGTACTGGGCTCTTCTGATTGAGGACTTAGAGCTCCAAAGGAAGTGAGAAAATCATTCTGACTGTCGTCGGCTTCAGCCATTTCCTTCGCTGCTCGTCAGTCAGGTGCTCACATTGTGCTGCAAATCTCAGCTCGCAACGAAGACTATTGCCAAAAGTGAATCATAAACTGAGACAGGTTGTCCTTCACTTCAAAATCCTTTCACTGCCGACCTACACCAACTAGTAGTCGTACCTGGTTCTCTTTCTACAAGAATACAGGCATTTTGATCTTCGATTTTGATTTTTCAAGTAAGTTTGTGATAAACAGGTAAAAAGCTACAAAAAAGTACAAGTAAAAGAACTGAGCTAGCTGATGTCATGATAAAAAAACGTAAAATGTTTGCTGATAATTATCATGATGTCATGATGCGTTCTTCTTTTTTTTTAACGTAAAGATAGCTATCGCAGTATCCATGGTATCGGCCGGGATATCGATGGTACCGGCCGGCAAGAGTTTTTTTTATGTCATGATTGATGAGTACCATCAAGAGTAGATAAACAAGAGTGTGCAACTCGCGGATTGGTTGGCCCACGGCGGAATTTTTTGTTGACGTAATCTTTTCGACGACGCACGCGCTGCGAGCCTTTTGGAGAGGTTTCCCTCGTGCACTTGGCCGGGCTTTACACTACAAGGTCTGTGCCCAGCACGTGCTCTCACACTGCTCTGCGGCAAAGTCCGCGTTTCTCTGAAAAAAGGTGACGTCAACAAAAAATTCCGCCGTGGGCGGGAGTATCTGCAGATTGTGCAGGAGAGATCCGGAGTTGCACACTCTTGTTTATCTACTCTTGGTACCATCAAGAGTACATAACTACTGTGTAGTTATGTACTCTTGGTACCATGTGTATATACCATGTACCAGGGAGTCGTCAAATACCGGTATTTGACGACTCCCTGATGAGTACCATGACAGTTTAATCGCAAGTCTACCCCCATGGGCCCCAAGGCCCGGGTCGCGGGCCGGGCCAAGGGCCAGTTTTATTTGCAACCGCGGGAAACAAAGCCCCCATGACGCCGTCTTTTCAGGCCTTCAGGAATGGCCGAACTTCCGAAATTTGTGGAGGACTCTACCTGGCTCTCGTCGTCTCAGAGGCTGGTCAAGGGCAATCAAAGGGTGTTTTCGGCTCCGTAAGGATACCTTCTACCCCAATATTATTAGTTTGAGGATGAGCTGCGTGAAGCGGAGTTACAGGGCTGATGTTTGTTGGACGTCGTCATTTCCATTTGCATTCACCAATCATTGGGCTCGAAAGAACTGGCTGGTAAGTGAAAACTGTAGAACTGGCACTAAAGCCACTTGGTGGGTAGGTTGCCGCAACACTCTAGTTTGTCAAACAACAAAAGAAAGCAGTGTGGGTGCGTGTCGCACAACGCGGCACGAAATTCCCAGAGGTGTGTTGCCATTACGTGAGAATCACGACGTAATATTTTCGCATAAATCAGGGGCAATATGTCTGTTTAGCATAGCAATCATAGGCAATGCATGTGTGACGCATCTATTGACAAAGAGCAGAGGGTGTAAAGTAATGTCGTGCATTCCATAATGCTTGGACTTGAAAAAAGTAGCATTTAGCCAGTGAGTACTGTGGTTCTCTAAAGATTTCCTTGAGTTGTATATTTGTATTGCTCAAAATAATGGAGGTGAATACACTAGGAAATCTTTAGATTTTTCATACAGCAGTAGTGGATAGTCCGAACAGATTCTTGGTACACTGCAGTATACATATAATATAGTACCATGCACATAAGCCGCGTCATGTTCCTGCTGTTGCAGCTGTTTGTGCTGGTACCGCTGTGGTTGCCATAGCTGAACATGATGCTGCTGCTGCTGCTGCTGCTACATGTACTGCTGTTGCTAATGGGGAGATTTGGGTTGATTATGTGACGATAGGTGCTGCAAATGGTTGTTGTCAGGGGTTGGTGCTTATAAATACATTATGCTGTTGACGGCTTTCTGGCTTCGTAGTCTTGTACAGTGTGTGGATGCGTAAACTGGTATGGCTCTTCACATATTGCGCGTTCCGGGCCACATTGCTGACATCGCCGCATGTGTTCATCCCATTTCTATTATCCAAATAAGTGTTTATTTTCATTCCTTTTTATTGTGGTATCATGGTGCTATAGTTTCCAGCCTCCACCCACTGTTTCTGATTTTCGGCTGTGTTGCAGTAGCTCGACAGTATGATAATAATTTATGACTGTATGACGCGAATTTCTAATAAAAGTATGACTGCTGAAACCTGGCGAGAACAGACTAACTCCATAACTGGCACTAAAAAGAATCCTCTCACCGATACATCTAAGCAATATCTGTGCACACATGCAAAAAGAATTGCAATCGGTTAGTGCCAAACAATGCGGCACGAAATCTTCGGAGGGACGTTTTGAATCCAAGAATATATTTACCATCCAGAAAGCCGACGAAGACGACACTGTTTCTCATCTGTGGCCGTCGCGAAAAGATCTCAGGGGAGTGTGTATGCGTAGGATTGTGTAGAGCGCAAGGAATTGAAGCGAAGTGGAGTATTCTCGGTGTGGTGGCTGTCTTTGTTTTCGTCGGCATTCTGTTGCCTTGAGAATTTTCCTCCACGAAGGGCTTCAAATTTCCCGCGACTGCAAATAAAAGTGCAACTTTTAGACGGCTTTTTTTAATCTGGCGATCCTACTGAACACGGTGTCCTCGATCCAGGCTAGCTGAGCTCAGATCATGACGTCGATATTTTTTGAAAACCATGTACGTAGATCTACCATGTGGAAGGACAGCTAGCGCTAGCTAGCTCATGACATGAGCTTTTCTGAATATAAAATACCGTACGCACGATGCTGAGATCAATTTGTGCGATATCAAATTGTTTGTGATCTACGACATAGAGCAGAACGGGATCCAAACACAAGCTTACCGACGGTTAGGCTGCCGACCTGACTGGACAAATGATCCCTGGCTTCACCAGACGCCAGAAGTCGGACACCATGTCCTTTGCCGCGACGTCCATCTCCAAAAAGAACTCCATCTTCGTCGAGAAAAGGCTTGAAATACTCAATATTCAACCGAGATTCGCGGTCTCACCCTTTCTCAGATCGAATCATTTTTTGTTGTAGCAGTTGCAGGGCAGAACCCCGCCACTATTTGAACAGGGGATGGCTCAAAGCATGCCTGGAACAAGCCATATCGAGGTTGCAAGCCACCCCTCTCAGCAAGAAGTTCGAAATTTCAATGGTGGAAGATATACTATGAAGAGAATTTCAAAAAAGTATTTTTCGCGGAGCGATCGCTCAACCTACGTCATTCAAACTTTGCAGGATGGTTCAGACGTACATGCTAGGCATGAAACCACAGGGGATGATATTATAGCTGACACACAGAGTCACACACACAGCGGATTCGTGTGCACAGATATACTAAATTAGTGGACGTCGTCATCTTCTTTCCGCTGATCTCAAATGTACTATGACGTGCTATTCCGCCTGACGATGTCCCTGCTGTATTTGTCTTGAGCTCCAGGTCCGGAATTACGGGCAACAAGCCCCAAACTTGGAATTGCCCATTTTCAGCTTTCGCAGCCCTGTGCAGGTCGTTTATGGCAATGTGTCTCATTACTGTTGTGCATTACCCCTCGTCTGCCTATTCCAGGAGTTCACATTGGTCACGGTCCATCTTACAGCTGTGGATAGTCAGAAAGGTGAGAAATGGTGAATTTGTGACTCTTTGCGACCAGCTCTTATTCTCAATGTACCTAAGAGTAGCTGGGCCCAGCTGCAACGTGAGTGCTGGAAGTGATTGGATTTTTGGTTTGCTGCTAGGCCGCTGGCACTCGCAGGTAGTGCCCAAAGAAAAATGTCCCTGCTGTAATTGTCTCGAGCTCCAGGTCCGGAATAACGGGCAATAAGCCCCAAACTTGGAGTTGCTCATTTTCAGGTTTCGCAGCCCTGTGCAGGTCGTTTATGGCAATGTGTCTCATTTCTGTTGTGCACTACCCCTTGTCTGCCTATTGCAGGAATTCATATTGGTCACTGTCCATCTTGCAGCTGTGAATAGTCGGAAAGGTGAGAAATGGTGAATTTTTGACCATTTGCGCCCAGCTCTTATTCTCAATGTACCTATGTATGACTGGGCCCAGCTGCAACGTGAGTGCTGGAAGTGATTGGATTTTTGGTTTGCTTTTTGGCCGCTGGCACTCGCAGGTAGTGCCCAAAGAAATATGTCCCTGCTGTAATTGTCTTGAGCTCCATGTCCGGAATTTCAGGCAACAATCCCCAAACTTGGAGTTGCTTATTTTCAGCTTTCGCAGCCCTGTGCAGGTCGTTTATGGCAATGTGTCTCATTTCTGTTGTGCACTACTCTTTGTCTGCCTATTGCAGGAATTCACATTAATCACTGTCCATCTGGCAGCTGTGAATAGTCGGAAAGGTGAGAAATGGTGAATTTTTTTTGACCATTTGCGCCCAGCTCCTATTCTCAATGTACCTATGTGTAACTGGGCCCAGCTGCAACGTGAGTGCTGGAAGTGATTGGATTTTTGGTTTGCTGTTAGGCCGCTGGCACTCGCAGGTAGTGCCCAAAGAAAAATGTCCCTGCTGTAACTATCTTGAGCTCCAGGTCCGGAATTACGGGCAACAAGCCCCAAACTTGGAGTTGCCCATTTTCAGCTTTCGCACCCCTGTGCAGGTCGATTATGGCAATGTTTCTCGTTTTTATTGTGCACTACCCTTTGTCTGCCTATTGCAGGAATTCCCATTAATCACTGTCCATCTTGCAGCTGTCTCTATGTCCTCTGCCTTCATGATTGAATGTCCACTTCGTTTGAACAACGAACACAACAATCGAGGACGGCTTTGCAATGAAAAATACAGCTATACTGGAGCTGAAAAAAAGAAGAAAAAAACGTGCTCAGGATGAGACTCGAGTACACGCATACTCTCCCAGCACGTGAAACGCAAATTTTTGTGAAAAAAATACGTGTCTCCGACTGACCAGTAATTTCGCCTGACGATTTCTTTGGGCACTACCTGCGAGTGCCAGCGGCCTAACAGCAAACCAAAAATCCAATCACTTCCAGCACTCACGTTGCAGCTGGGCCCAGTTACACATAGGTACATTGAGAATAGGAGCTGGGCGCAAATGGTCAAAAATTCACCATTTCTCACCTTTCCGACTATTCACAGCTGCAAGATGGACAGTGACCAATATGCATTCCTGCAATAGGCAGACAAGGGGTAGCGCACAACAGAAATGAGAAACATTGCCATAAACGACCTGCACAGGGCTGCG